CTCATTATCCACTTTCCAAATAAGCAAAAGGCAAGTGCGTGTCTTGCCCGAGGTCCCCCCTGGAACAGATGCTGCTGGCTGGCTGCCTGCCCCCATGGTCTTTGGTGGTAATCTCTGTGCCACAAAGTAAGGTTGGGGCTTACGTCTCTGCCCTCTCATGCACCCCTGCCGTCCACCACAAAGTCACCTCCCAGCCCTGGGGGAAGAGGCACGACAGCCAGGGACCACTATGAGTCCTTTGTGGCCCTAACTGTCCCTCCCAGTGGCTCCAGAGCACCTGGGGACAGAGCTGGTGTGAAAGGATGTTGGGTGGTGAATCAAGCACCGCTTACCTGATCTGTCACCACTGCTCCAAGCTTCTTGAAGGAAACCCTTTCCCTTGTCTGAGTACTGCTCTTTCTCTGTTCCTTCTCCCTCCAGTACCCTAAGTGAGGCTGCTCTGGTCTTTCTCTGTCCCCTGCCTCCGCCTCTTCTCTGCTGACCATTGTTCCTGACCATTGACCTCCCAGAGTTGCACTCTTGACCACTTTATAACCACCTCAAAAGCAAACCTGGAGCCAAGCTATGTCCCCACCCCACCACATATATACACTCTGCACACACAACTGGCCATGCCCCTGCTTGAGTCACTGTCCCCCTGTTGTTCTACCGCATGCCCAGCTGGTCCCCTCCTGCCCTTTTCCTGTAGCCTCCTGCACGCAGACTTCCTCCCACCCATAACCACCCAGCAAATCAGGCTTGAGCTACCAAACCCACCTAGTGCACCTTTCCTTGCGACACACCAAATGCTCAGCCTGCGGCCAGCGTCACCTTCAGCGGATACTGCCCCGACAGGTGTTCCCGAGACCAGAAGCACACTGGCCTCTTTGATCCCAGCCCTGGGAATACTGAGTCTCCCTACTCTGCCCTATTTCTCTTCCTCTGCCTGTAAACCCTCTGGGCAAACCCAGGATCAGCTCTGTGCCTGCTTCTTGCCATCCTGGCTCCCTAAGATACACAGGACTATGTTCAGTGTAGCTTTGGAGTCATGAAGATCTGGCTCTGAATCTGACTCTGTTTACCTGCTCTGTGATCTTGAGCAATTGGCTTCACCTCTGTACACTTCAGTTTCTGCATCTGTAAAATGGGATTCTGTTGTTTCAATGAGATGATTGTTGAAAAAAGAAAGAGGAAAAAAGAGAGGAAGGGAGGGAAAAGAAAAGGAAAAAAAGAACAAAAGAAATGAGAAGAAAGTATTTCAAGCCACGTATGGCCACACCAAGCACTGCATCCCAGGAGTTGTTACTCAATCTCTTCAAGACCCATGAGGTACCTCCTCTCTTAGAAAGCCCTGCCTGTGTACAATGACCTGTTCCATCCTGCTTCTGTATGTCTTGGTGCAGTGGTGGAGAACCTATGACACTCGTGCCACAGTACACTGTTCATACCACTGAAAATTCTAAAAGGCTCGCTGACACTGATCTAGGGTATTGTCCACTCTTGTGCCCTCTGGTCTCTGTAGAGTTTTAGGCAAGTTTGCTTGTCTTATATCTAGGGTATTTCATCTGTAAAGCAGATATAAAATGTGCACATTGTAGGGTGGAGAGTGAATATATGTGAAGTGCTGGGCAAACAGTGTTACATGCTAGGTGTGGTGACACACAACTGTAATCTCAGGGCTCTGGGAGGCGAGGCAGGAAGATTGCAAGTTCCAGCCCAACCTGGGTAACTCTGTAACTTAGCAAGACTGTCTCTCAAAATTTAAAATGTTAAACAGGGATGGGAATGTAGCTCAGTGTAAAGGCCCAGGTTCAACCTCCAATAAGGAAAAGGACAAAAGCATTTGAAGATGCCGAATTTGATGCCATCCCAAAGCATCTCCTTTCCCCACGCCCAAGTTCCTGATAGACCATAAGCGTCCTGGGTCGGGGCAGAGACGCTGCTTCTCTGTGGCCTCACACAGCACAGTGTATGGCATTCAGCAGTGTGTGGTGACGCTTGAACTCCATCGACCAAGCCCTCCACAGCCACTGACAGCAAGTGATAGTCCCGCTGGACTCAGGCTATTCAGGACTCCTTGAATATCAGAATCAAAGCAAGAGAAGGAATTTCCAGATTTGCCTGTCATGGACTTATGACCTCAGAGGCCCCTGTCCTGGCCCTGAACACCGTCCTGCTTCTCTCGGGCCTGTGCCTCTCAGAGTCACCCCCAGGGACTGAAGGGAGTCCCTCTCTACTCTGCCTCGCAGCTTGTCCTTCCTGTGTAGCTGCCCCACCTTAGTGAAGGACCCCAGCCAGGGCAGAGTGCAGCTACATGGAGCCCGGAGGCAGCCTCCTGCACTGATGCGGGCTCGGGCCCGTGCTGGGTGTTTATTGCCTGTGCCATCGACCCGCACAGCTCGCTGTTTATCTGTCTTCCTGACACACCTAATTACCCAGGTTGCAGCTGCCAGCGCGTTTGCTCTTCCTAAATCACGGGCTCCCACCCCTCCTGTCGCCCAGGCCCCCGGGCCTCTGCCTGCAGAAGGGCTGCCATTGATTTTACCGTTCTCGTTTATGATCTACAAGGCTCTGCACCGCTGTTGCACATTTTACCTTAATTAGTTTATTCTTCTGGGCGTCCCTAGTGAACTCAGAAGCCAAGAGGCTGGCAAGGGGAGAGACCAAGAGCACATGGCACCCAGACTCCTCCTACGACAGAGCCCAGGGCCTGCTCAGACACCAGCTCCCTAAAGCAGCAACCTGCTAAGAACAGTGCTGGCTCTGCAGGGTATTAGTAGGTGTTCTTCAAAATGGGGTTCCCTGACCCAACTGTGCTTGAGAAAGGTTGGGTTCAACAACATTAAACGAGTAATTTACTGCGAGACTTTTCAGTTTTAATAGGCTGATGTCTATGGAGTCTCCAAGAGCTAGGCAACTCCAAAGTCTTTCCCAAGTTCATATAACATGGAATCTTTTCTCTGGGCAGTTCACAGAGACCAAGGATCCCACAAATCACCCTTTCAGAAATGCTGCCCTAGCTTGACAGGAGAACTTGGGGACAGTGAGGTAAATGGGTATAGAGTCTCCCTGACCTATTTTCCCATCTCCTCTAGCTGAAGCAGGAGCTTGGTGTCTGCAGAAGTTTCTCCCACTGAATCCAGAGGTGCTCATGAGAGCATGGCACGCTCCAGCTGTGAGCAGCCAATCTCTCACCTGGCCCAGCTCTGCTGGAATGTAACCAAGGTATTTAGGAAGGACCATGCTAGCTAAGGGGAGCCTGACCTGACAGAGACGGGCAAAGGTTGTTTGCTATTGGTGGAGGCTGAAGAACCAGGAGCCTGCAGGAGCTGTCTTCAGTGGCCCCAGGCATCGGAAAGTGATGGCAAGCTGGCGGCTGCCGGAGCCACCATGATAACTGCAGTCCACATCCAAGTCCCTTCTCCACAGTCCTGGAACCTAAATTCTCAAGCAGTTTCGAGTGCTTTTTCTTAAGTTTGTGGGAAATCCAGTGGGTAGCAAAACTTGTCCTGAGTTGATATGAGCTATTTATAAGCTTTATTTATCCCACTTAGTGTGAATATTCATGTTTCACTGCAGAAATATTAATGTGTTTAGTTACGGGGTGCCACCCCCAGTCCCTGCTGGGTGTTATATAATCAATAATACGCTACCTTTCTAAAACATGGAGGAAAAATGTAAATTTCTAAACACAGTGGGCCCCCAGGGATGTCAGTGAGGGGCTGTGGACCAGCAGCATCATAAAACTGTCACTGCTCTATCACCAGGCCAGACCCGTGACCCAGTCACAAGTGTTTTTCCCACATTGTGACCAAGGCACACTAGGAGCCACAATTCCCAGATAAGACCAAGGCCAGAAGCAGGTAAAGAACTTAGCAGTACCTCAGCATCCCCCGGAGCATTCCTCTCAGCTGCAACAGCTCTGTGCACCCTGCATCTCTGACTCCACTGAAACCTCCCCACCGCAAACACTCCGCAGAGCTCCCACATCTGCCTGGCCAGCGGCCTTCCCTCCATGGCAGCTCTGGGCCTCGACTCCAAGCGTTGGGCAGAGACAGAGACAGGGTGACTGCCCCAGGCACCAGCTCCCTGTGTCCAGCCTGCGTCCCTGAGTGTAGTCCCTTGGTCTCAGGGGGTTCAGATGAGGCTCCTCAGAGACTAAACCTCTTGTCCTTTCCTGGACTGGGCCACCTGGGGGCTATTCGTACACCGCTCGCTCCCTCCCTCTCTCTCTCTCTCTCTCACACACACACACACACACTTGTACTTACGTCCCATACTTATACTCATTGCCACACACATTCTGATACTCTCCCATACCACTTACCTGCATCCACACACTCTCACCCTCATCGCTCCCCACTCTCGCACCCTTAGCCACATGCTCACTTCCATATTCACAGTTTCATGCTTGCTCTCACACACACACTCACTCACAGAATCACCAAACCTCTGCACTGCAGAACCGGTGTCTCTGAAGGAAGCGCCTTGTAGAGTAGTTAGTCTCCAAAATGGGAAGAGTCGTGGTGGCCTAGTAATAGCTACCAGGGGGTGGCAGAGGCACCATGCCAAACCTCTAATATATGTCATCTCATTTATTACTTGCATTAAACTTGAACATAGTTATCACTGTTGTGCCCATCACAAATAAGAAAACTGAGGCTCAGAAATGCTAAGCAACTTGTCCAAAGTCTAGAACCTTGGCGAATCTGGGTAGAACTGAGATTGGTACTTGGGCTCATTTTCTGTAAACCCCAAGTTTGTAACCACTGTCCCATCCTGTCTCCCTCAAACTAAGCCTACTGGCTCTTCCCTGGATCAGCCAGAGAGTCCAGTTTACAACTGGAAACATGAGTACCCCAAACAGAGAGGAGTCTCAACTGCTTGAGAGCCTCCTTTCTGCTGACGGCCCATCCATCTTGGCCCCAAACACCTTGTGGCAGGTGCCAGTGGACATACCCAAAAGTCGGAACCTGAACCCCACCCACTGTTAACTAGCCCTCCTTTCCTTCTGTCTCCAGGAGTGGCCACATATACAGACAAATTGTTCAAATTCCGAAATAACCGGTGGGAAGACATCCTGAGTGACGAGGTCAACATGGCCCGTGGTGTAGCCAGCCTCTTTGCAGGACGCTCCGTGGCCTGTGTGGACAGAACGGTGAGTAGGGGGCCTGTAAAGAAGTGGAAGGAACAAAGTGATGTAAGAGCCAGGAGAGGAACTGCCAGGTAGATGTCCCCTGACAGAATGATGACAAGCCACCACAGTGTCTTACACATAGAGAGTACTAAATACAAAGAACTAAGACTCTCAAGAGAAAGCACAGCCTTTCTCCCATGTGGCCATACCATGGCCTATGAGGAAGTGGCCAGGGATGTCATCATTTTGTCCACTGGACACTTGAGGGGACTGAGGCACAGCTTGGAGCAGTGACTTGCATGGAACCCAGAATAGGCTGTTGGTATGGCTAGGACAGGAAGCAGGATCCTCTAGCTCTAGATCTTGAGCCCATTCATTCACACTGACATTTAGTAAGTGCCTCCTATGTGCCAGGTATCGAGCTCTGGGACCCTCTGTAAATGTTTATGGAATACACAGAGGCACAACAGGGCACTCATAGGAACAATAGCAGTTTTCTGAACACACAAGAACTTTAGTTCATCAGTGACTCCATCAACAGCCCGTGTACTGCCTGCCAGTGCCCCACCCAGAGGTGCCAGCCCAGAGTAGATGGAAGTCTGCTCTGGAGGGACCGGAACAGCCATAGCCATCTGCTCTGTGTTGGGGGTTCGGGGTGCCTGGAGCTTGGGTCCCACCAGGTCCTACTGTGGAAATAATTTATCCTTTCTGTCACCTGCTCCCCTGCCACCTACCTCCATGGCTTTACAGTCATCACTGCATCAAGGGCCCAGCTGCTGCCCTGCTCCCATGGGATCCTCTCTGGCCTCCATTCTTGGATGGGGTGAGGTGGGGCTCACTTTGGATAGAGATGGCACCACAGGGATTGGGGATTCAGTGTGAATCTTCACAGCAGGGGCCTCCAGGCCTTGGGAGAAAACAGGTGCCAGGTATAAATATTTATTTCTTAACAAGCTGGTACTGGGAGGAGAAGCCAAGCTGGGCTGTGAAACCACATTTAGCCCTGACCTGAATCTGTGCCACCTGGACTTCTGCCTCATCAGAGGGGATGTGAGACCCTCTAGAAAGAGTGGGGGCTGGAGGCCTCGGGCCTGGTCACAGCTCGGAACTTCCTTTCCTCTCCTGGCTGCCCACTGCCTAGGTCACCATCGAGCTTCCATACCAGCTCAAGCAGGAAACTTGGAGAACTAGAGGGAGGGACGTGGAGCGTAAGCATAGAGAAGCACTCTTTGCCCTAACAATGTCACCTGCACACACATTTAACCACAGGACAAAGACAGCAGGTGAAATCGAGAAAAAAAGAAAGCCTGGCACTAGGGCACCATGAGTGGCATTCAGAAGCTGCCTGCTTCCTGCTCCGACCCAGCATCCAGCCTCCCAGTCTGCAAGGAGCTAGAGAGCCCTGCAGACAGTCTGCACAGAGGAGGAACAGCCTTCCCAGTGCAGCCACCCTCCCGGAGGCCAGGAGCTGTGAGGGAGATCTGGGAGACCGCAAAGCCAGGGGGGAAGCTGGGTGGCAAAACTGAAGTATAAAATAAAACCACCTCACATTAGATTGTCCAACTAATCACACACCAAGCTCTGCTCCAAGTGCTCCCGGCCTCATCTGAGAATCCTTACAGTCATACTGTGAGGCAGAGGCTGTCACTGTCCCACTTTACAGATATGAAAACTAAGGCCTGGAGCAATTATGCAACTTGACTGTGGTCACACAGTAAGTAGTAGACAAAGTCAGGAATTCAATCCTGCCTGCCTAAAATGAAGCAGGTAACCGTGTACCCCTCCACTACCCTGCCTCTGGATGACACCATATGACATAGGTTTCTAACTACAGATTCTATTACACCACTCAACCCACCCTCTCTCCTTTAGCCCCATGGCCCATGCCTCAGACTTTCAGTCTCTCTACCTTGTCAGTGCTTCTCGAAGTGTGGACCCATGATTAGCGACATCAGAATTAAAAGTGAAAATTCACAGGCCCTGTCCCATGGTGCCTTCCAAATGCACTGAAATCTAAAGCTTTTGGGTGGGGTCCAGCAACCCGGGTTCAGCTTGCCCTGCAGGTGATGGTGATGCCTGCTGGACACTGAGAGCAGAAACGCCCCAGCCTCTGGCACCAACAGCGCTCCCCTCTCCCGTCTGCCCCTTGTTCATCCTCCGCTCCACACCCAGAAAACCTGCCCATCCTCTATCTTCGGTTCCCTCATCACTCAACTTTCTGGATCTGATTCAAAGCTGATCTCTTACAAGAAGTGTCCCCTGGTCGATAATGATTATGCCTCATGTTTATATAGCATTTTTATCTTTTCAAAGACCTTTCACATACGTTGTCGAATCATTTCATCTTCTCAACAACCCTGCCAGGAAGCAGAGGGAATCTGATCCCATTTAACATGTGCAGAGACGCAGCCTGCAGACGGCAAGGGATGTGCCTGAGGACACAGAGCCAGCGAGGGGCGGAGGCTGGACTTAGACAACTGACCTACACCAGTGATTCCCAAAGTGAGGTCCCTGGGCCAACCACATCGACTTCTTGGGACCATGTTAGAAATGCACATTCTTGGGGTCCCCCCACCCCGCTCTACTGAATCCAAAACTCTAGTGATGCGGCCAACACCTATGTTTTCACACAACTTCCCAGTGACTGATACAGACCACAGAATGAAACTCAAAGCTCCAGAAACACCTTCTCTCCTCCAAAATCATCTTACCCTTTAGGATTATTGTGGCCAAGTTCACATGTGAATTTCTGTACTATTCTACAGGTATAACACACACACAGCTATCCATTTTGTTGCTCTGATACATGAAGTAAGGAACTAGGTGTAACTGAATTTTATAAATCTCCTAATTTCTGGCAGAGTGCAATTCAGCCCATTTAGGCTTAATTGCTCATTTGTTGAGGCGCTTGCTGACAGCTGGTGGGGTTAGGAATGGGTCATGTCAGTGCACTTTCCCATTGGGCCCCTTCATTCATTCTTCATCCGATCATTCTACACACGTGTGCAAAGCCCTGGCAATGGGGGACAACTCTTCAAAATTCTCTCTTCACCAGTGAGTCATGCTGAAAGCAATGCATCTCAGACTTTAGTCTTGCTAGGAGTTTTGTAGATTAAATGCATATTCTGATTGATGAGGTCCAGGGTCAGGCCTGGGACTCTGTATTTCTAACCCGATCCCTGGCGTCACCAGCCTGCTGCAGATCTTGTTACTTTAAATAAGAAGACATAAAGCACAGTAAAAGGATAGAATCCCAGAAATCCAGAACACAAGGGCCAGCGGAGTCTGCAAGGAACGGTTTTGTAACCCCCTCCAGTTTCATCCCTTCACACTTCCGGCCGTGCACTCACCATTCCAGCCACAGTGAACCAGCTGCTTGTGTTTCCCCGTGTGCATCTACTTTTCATCTCTGTCCAAAGATTTTTGCCTTCCATTTCACCTGGCCGAGACTCCTCTTGGAAAACCTCTTCTGAAATTCCCACAGTGAGGCACCTGCCTCCGGCTTAGGAACATCTCTTCTGTGCCCCAGGAAAGCCTCTCCATGGCCTCTGCTGTACACTTGTAGGCTTGCTGATGCTTCTGGGTCCCCCAGAAACCCTAAGCGCCTTCCTCATTCTCGCCCACCTGTCTCACAAGCTCAAGTACCTCTTAATCAGCTTCCCCAAAGAAAGTAGTCCTAAGACGGTGTAAAGTCAGTGCCCAGTTACTTGGGACGAGGGGTCTCATGATGCCACGGGACAAGACGTAGCAGCAAAGAGAACCAGGAAGAGGGATAACAGTGCAATCCTGTTGCCCACGCTCACCAACGAGGAATGATCTAAATATATAATAGATGTTTAAAATTCTTAAACTTTATTATAGTGAAAGACATATTGCCATTAATCCCTCTCAGAACACTCCCTCTCATTTCAAACACACTGCTACTTTTTGAATCAGTTCTGGCAGTTCTCTTTCATCTGGATCTTTACAATGTGTGATTTAAAAAAAAAAAAAAAAGCGTGGTATGGTGGTGCAGACCTGTAATGCCAGCACTCAAGAGGCCAAGGCAGGAGGACCACCCCAAGTTTAAGGCCATCCTGAACTACATAGTGAGTCCAAGGGCAACCTGAACTACGTAGTGAGACCAGTCTCCAAAAAAAAAGTGTGACAAAAATTATGGTGAACACTATGGCAGTGGCATCCAGAAGAAAGGCAGGCTTCTGAAAACATTAGGTTGTGTCTCCATCCACCTTATATACTAGATCTGGCACCCTGCAATTTAAGCCTCTTCCCCAAAGTCAAAATGACCATGAACGCTAAATGTTTTGAATTAAGACAAAGAGGCAGCTTCAACAGTACAACTAAAGATACTCACGAAGGAGGATTCCACCCCTGCTTCAGAAAGTGGCAAGAACCATTATAGGATCTGTGGGTCTGAAGCAAGGGGAGGTATCTTGAGGGAGACTGATCGCAATGTGTATTTTACACTAATATTTTTTAAATTTAAACATCCACCGCCATTTCCCACCACACCAGATCTGTCCTTTTTTATTTATGGCTTGCCTGTCAAATTAGAATCTAAGCTACCTAAGGACAGGGACTTTGTCTTCATGTCACTTATCGAAGAGCACCTTTCACAGAGTTGAAGCTCCAGGAGGGAAGTGATGAAAGGGGAGGGAGGAAAGCCAGAAAACTGATTTAGAAGCAGCGTGGTTCTCAGGAAGAGAGAGGAATCCACCGAAGAAATAACACCATTACAGTCACAGACAGAAAAGAAGCTTTCATCAGCAGTGCTTTGGACTACAGAGGAGCATGGCTACAGCAAAGAGGAGCTGGCGCCCAGGGCTTCTCCTAGATGCAAAGAGAAGAAAAAACTGAGACAGTAGCAAGGCAGAAGCAATGAAATATTTCTTTCAGGAAATTCAGAGAGAAGAGGAGCTAGAAGGGGAAGAAGACCCCTGGAAATCTGTGCCTCTCATGCTACCAAGCAGAGAGATGAAGAAGCACAGGGAAGGGAGGAAGAGAGGGAGCCAGCTCGGGAATTCGCTTGTCATCTTGGCTGGAGTGGGCTTGAATGGGAGAGAGAGACTGAGAATAATGGGGATTGGTAGATCAATCAATCAGCAAATATTTATTGAGCAGCTACCCAGGCTGGCAGCTGGAGAGAGCTCAGCTGGAGGGAGGCACATTAGAAAATTGTCTATAAAAAGGTGGTTGTGGGGGAGAGGGAGGCACGTATTCTTCTGGAACAGGATAGAAGGAGAAGCAGGGCTGCTTTGTTGTCCAGCTGGAGGGGGTGGGTGCCATTCACAAGACAGCCTTTGTGAAAAGCCCCCCGGGCTGTGTTGGCAGCAGACCTGGAGGAGAACCTAAGCTGTGGTCCGGGTGTAGGATAATTTCCGGAGTGGCTTGGGAGGGGCCTCCTCACCAGTCTTCTCCCCTTCCTCCTCAGGGCTCTGGACGCTACTCGATCTACATTGCCAATTATGCCTACGGTAATGTGGGGCCTGATGCCCTCATTGAAATGGACCCTGAGGCCAGTGACCCCTCTCGGGGCATCCTGGCACTCAGAGATGTGGCTGCTGAGGCTGGGGTCAGCAAATATACAGGTATGCAGAGGGACATGGGGGCCTTGGGATGGGCTCCAGGGCCCTACAAAATAAAAACGAGTCTAATTCATCAGAGGTCACAAGAAGAGGAAAACTTTATTCCACGAGGCCACCTCAAGGGCCAGTTAGATGCCTGGCGAGTGTTAGCTTGGGAGAGCTGGCAGGGACGCTGGGCAGAGGGGCTTGCTGGAAAGCGGGGTGCAAGCACCCCCCCCCACATCATTCTTCCCTGCAACCTGTCTTCTGTCTCCTGCTCTGACCCCAGTGATGGCTTCTGTAGGAGAAAACTGACAAATCATAAAGACTGAGATTTAAGGCATTCTTTATTGCCAAACAGCAGATAAAATTATTTACTTACACGCAGGCGGCCACGAATTGAGTGGTAAATCCCTAAGCTTCAGCTGGGTCCCATCTCGGATAACTGAGCTCGGAGAATTGTGTTTTTGTTCCAGAACCTCTCCAGCACTTTTCCTCAAGGCCCACTCCCCCTTCCTCTTTCTGGGTGGGAGACCTATTGTCAGAATCTCGGACAGGGATATCTTTCCAGGGAAGGCTGTTTTTCTAATTCCAGCACAGTTGCTGACTAAACTCTGATAATCTGCCAATAGACTGCTGATGGCAGAGCAATCCAGCTCCTGTTTGGATGCCAAAAATGAGGAAGCCAGGGCTGCGCACAACCGCTTTTCACGTGAGCGCCAGTCTCACTCAGCTCGCCCAGCTCTCAGGTGTACAAACTACCTGGTTAGCTGACCTTTCCATATATCCCCCTCCCCCAGGTCATTTCTAGAGAGACTTCCAAAGCGGTCGCCAGCCTGAATCCTTATCCTGGTGGCTAGGAGGGAGGATTCTTGAGGAGTATTTGGGCCGTCCGCCCCCAGCCCATCTCCAGACATTGGTTGGTAGCAAAATCTCTAAACCCTACCCGGAAAATGTTGTCCCTGCGGTTTATTATGCCCTTCACTAGCCAACTTTCCACCGTGGTGAAAGGCAGAGATTAATGTTGACCTGTCTGACAAAGTTTGTGGGGACAAATGACTAGACAATAAAATAGTTTGCACAGCTCAAGCCCCATCAAAGTGCCTGAGAGCTCCGTGCGCAGATATACCTCGGAAAGGCTGAGTGTCAGTAATAAACCACGTTTCCCTGGGAAAGGAATAAACATACAGGCGCTTCAGCCTAGATTGGTACAGTCAATTTTTCTGAGTAGCTCCCAGTTCTGTGTACTGGGCCCGCTTGGGAGTAAGTGCCTTGATCTTGCTGGAGAGGGGGGTGGGCTGGAGTGGGTGTGGAGCACTTGAAAATGATGAGACAGAAGGGAGGTGAGGACTGGGAGAGCGTGTTATACACAGAATGGATGGATTCGGGCTGTTTGAGCACGAAAGGGGCATTGTTCACACTGGCTGGGCTGGCACCAAACCCAGGAGGAGGAGGAGGGGACCCCAGGGGGAGACAGCTGAGGAATAGGATGGGGTGGGAGCACCAGCCAACTGTGCTGGGCTGTGCTGGAGGACTGGGCAGCCCAAGGAGGGACAGCAGCTTCTGGGGAGGCAGAGAGGAAGCTGGGGCAGCTGGTACGCCCAGAGGATGCATCAGAGCAGCCTCGCAGACTTCCAGAAGCCATTTGGCCAACAAGAACCTATTTGGCCCACCACGTTACTGTTCTGTCTACCCGCCTTCCTCAGCCCATCCTTTTCCTGCCTGCCAAGCCCCTAACTCTACCCTGCAGCACCCCCACCACTTGGCTAATGACGACAGACATCTGGCTAGAAAACCAGCCCAGAGTACCCCCTTGAGACCCAGGAATGGACCCCAAATGTAAGTAAGGGCTGCCATGCTGAGCCCAGCCTAATGGCTCAGACTCTGGGCAGGTGGCCAATGCTCAGCGCCAGGCCAGTGCCAGGGGGCCAGGCGAAGAGCAAAGCAAACCCTGGCCAGGTGTGCACTCAGAGAGTTGAGGCCTCCACAGCCAAGCCTCACAGCACCCATCTTTACAATAGCCTAATACCTGAGGGTACCTCCGACTTTCCAAAGTAACAAACCAGGTCCAGAAAAGAAAAGGATTTTGCACAAGGTCACACAGGAGATTGTAGAAAACTCGAATAGGGCAGCATCTGAATGCTAACCTGCTATAACCAGCTGACTTCTCTTTTGACCTCTACCTTGAGAATCCCTCTCCAGGCTGGAGAGAGGATGACCCCACACCCACTGGCAATGCAGCCCCAAGCATGACACTCAGGCCCTAAGCTGTGCTCCTGGCTTGCAAGACTGATGCAGCTGCTGGCCTGGGGTGCTCAGGGCTCTGAGAGAGGCCAGGCTACTGTGGAGCCTGCGAGGCAATGGCGCTGTCCCCACATTGGCCGTCTGGCTCTGTAGGAGGGGGAGGGAAACCTCTCCAGACACCATCGATTCTAGCGGCCACTGCTGCTCTGCTGGGTCACAGTGCCATCTAGTGGCCACCGTGCCTGCTCTCAGGGGACTCGAGAGCCCCTGAAGTGCCGTGGAGCAAGTGTAGTTGGTGCCCACTATGGCAGTAGAAAGACGACTCCCCCAGTGCCCTGACTCCCTAGAATCCCAAGCCCCAGTATCTCCAACGACCCAAGGCCTTTTGGAGCCAGGACAATGTTAGAAGCTGCCCCACACAGGAATCCAGAAAACAGGTTCCACCACAGCAGGACCCTGGCATGAAACCTGAGAAGACAACGAAGAGCCAGGAGCCTTGCGCTGGCTCTGTGCCCAGTGACCTTGAGCACATCTCTCAGCCACTCTGAACACCCTGATTAGGCTGGCTTGCAGAGCAGCTAAGGAGACAGGGTGCAGAGCGGGCTGCCTCGTGCAGACTCCGCTTCCACGGCACCCTCCAGCCACGGACAACACCAGCTCTCCCAGCTGATGCTTTCTCACTGGCACAGAGGGGATGTTGAGGAGCGAAAGGAGGGAACAGGGAATGTATACAGCAGATATTCACACTCAGGCCCTCTGCTGGGCAGCATTGGGGGTGCACACAAGGAACAGGCACAGCCCCATCCTGGAGGCGCTCTGTGTGCTCAGCGTGGGCACAGCATGGCAGCCTCAGCCCTGGAGTCCTCTCTCAGCCTCCTTCCCACTGGACCCAGTTTCCCCTGGGCCTTTGTCTGTCCCTACAAGCCCTGCATTTGGACCTTGCCCTTTAAGGGAGCATCTGCCTGGGCTGCAAGGTGGTGATTAAAGAAGCCTTAAAAGAAATTTGGAAAGAAAATGAAGGTGGATTTATGATGCTGGTTGGAGAGTTTTGCTGTTGGCTGGGAGCAGTGTGGAACAAAGCGGAGGGCAGATCTGATTTATAGGAAGTCATTATTGGAGGAGACAGAGAGGGCTAAAGCCCAGCTGGGGCCTGCTGGCAGATCCCCATCAGCGTGACTGAGGGCTGCAGGGCGGGGCCACAGAGCCTCCAGGTTCTCAGACAGCAGTGGTGGTCTTTCAGCAGAGCACAGCCAGGTCTGATGGCCCGGGTCAGACAAGGCTGGAGGTACAGATTCCTCTGCCAGGCCTGTCTGGGGTCCACAAAGTCCAGATACACAGGGACCATCTCCATTTGTATCAGATGTATTCAGTGATTGTCAGGAGAGAATATCATTTTTCTTTTAAAACACAGATATAGAAATATGAATTTTATATGCAGTTTTCTCAGCTATCACAAAGAGATTTTAAAGAAACATCAAGCCTGTGGCTGGCCATTCTGCATGCCAGTACAAATCCCACCCTTTAGAGAGGGGACTTTAGCAAAAAACATTTGAGAAACAGACTGGAGAGAATAGTTTATAGTCTTCAATGTAAGCTGCTCCAGGCTGGCTATGATTGCTTCTCCATGAGCCACGGTTTCCTCACCTAGAAAATGGTGGTAACAGGAGTTGGGTTTGAGCAGATGATGATCAAAGGACACAACCTTTTAGTTAGATGAGAGGAATCAGTTCTAGACAACCAGTGTCCAGCACAATGACTATGGTTAATAACAGTAGTGCATTTTATTCTTGCAAAGTGCCAATAGAATAGATTTTCAGTATTCTCACTACAAAAATCATGTGTATGTGAGGTGATGAATATGTTAATTAGCTCAATTTAGCTACTTCACCATGTATACGTTCTTCAAAACATGTCATTGCACTGTAAATATATGCAATTTTTAATTTCTCGGTTAACCACAGAAAGAAAGCGGTGGTGACAAAACACATCTTGAGGTGTCATGAGACTCATGTGAGCTGCGTGTGTGTGGTGCCAGCACGGGACCCAGCCGTTGGTACTAGAGGAACTCTCACTGGGACTCTTCTGCCCAGTCATTGCCTTAAACAGCTTCTCCATGCTCCTCACTGCTGGAAATGAGCGTGGGGAGGAGCGGTCCCCGCCTGCACCTCCGGGAACCAAGGTTTGAAAGTCTCTCACCCAGGGAACGACTGATGGAGGCTGTCCATGGACACCTTGCAGAGACAGGCCAGGAAGGACCAGGGGAAAGTAGAAGCAGCCTGACCAGCATCTGTGGGGTCACCAAGCACCAACACAGACATATTCTTTCAGAAGTTTCAGGAAGTTTAGATGGGAGATGCTGACAGCATCTTGTCCTTTACCTTCACAACACTGCCTCTAACATGCACCTGCTCGTACCCCACTGCCCTTCCACCTCAGATCTCCCAGTGTCTAAGCCCTCCTCTTGCACAATATCCTGGTGTTCGTGGTTGGAGCTTGAAGTCTACCAGCATCCTACTTCCATCAAGATCTCAGCACATCAGTGTCATGTGTCCAAGATCTTTGACTGATAGACCTTGCCTCGAAGCCTCCATAGGACAAAGTAGGCAGGAAACAGCCCCCAACACCCAAATCCCATGTCTTTCCGAGGGTGCATGACATAACAGATGAAACTGGAGGAGCCCCGGAGATCGTACGCCCCTATCCATTTCACAGGACAGGTCTGGAAGCCTGACAGACACACTTTTCAGAGAGAGGCATTTTATAACACCATGAACACTGTGCTGCCTTATCCCTGGTCACCAAGACCACAGTTTGGAATAGTTTAGCAATGCACGCCCTACCCCACAAGCTTTCCCTTCCTCACCCCTTCACCCACAGCTGGCCTACGGGCTGGCCCACATGCAGTGTGAAAGATAGGTCACCTACCCCTGAATCACACTAGCATCTGTACTGCTACCGTTGGTTCATAGGCCTGGGAGGTGAGGTTCTTGCCCTAAGTCTACCCTGTAGGTTTGGGCTTAGTGAACAGATTATCAGGAGTGTGGCAGGAGGAAGTGGGGGAATGTTTCTCCTCCCACCCCAGCAGAAGTGCTTGGAAAGAATAGGAAGGGAGGAGCATTCAAAGCCCAACAGCCTAACAGGGAGGCCTTTGAAGCTTGAAAGTGTTGAGGAAAAGTGATAACTGGTATTATTCACCCAGCAGGTGGTAAATAGTCCCAACTAATGACCATGTGGCACCTGACATTTTCCAAAGTACCTTCCAAAAACCATCTCAATATTTATGATCACCCTGAGAAAGAGCTATTGTTCTCACCAGTTTCACACCAGAATGAAAAGGCAGAAGCCCAGTAGAGTTAAGTGATGTACCAAAGGTCACACACCTCCAACTCAGACTTGCTGATTCCAAGACCACAGGCCGGCCGGATTCACCACCAGTATGGCCTCTCGAGCCTTACCTGGGGAACTGTTCTCCCTGAGAGAATGTGCTGTCTTCAGATACACAAATTAACTGACATAAAGTGACATCAAATCCCTACTAGAACATCCTTCGCTAAGGCTAAATAAAGATGTCTCTAATGGCCCCCTGGGTGGCTCCATATGGTGTGTCTTAACCTCAGGAGGTAGAGTAAAGGGCAGAGTGACAGAAGAGGGAGAAGAAAGGAAAAGGTCCTGGTGGAAGACACTTGCTAGTGCCTTTGTCACTGTGAGCAGAAGCAGAACTTCAGACTACGCTTACAGTGGTGGGTTTCACTGGTGTGAAGAGAACTTTCGTATCAATCTGAGAGTAGAGCTCCCCGAGGCCTCAGCAGGGGGCTCTGTCCCTGCCTCAGTCCCCACGTTGGCTGCCATCCTAAGACTGCTGGTGCTGGTGCCCAAGAAGCTGGTTCCATGACTGTCTACTCACCTGCTTCCCAACTGTGCAGTCAACTTGCCAAAAAGAAGTTGTGGGTAACATCTCTGTTATGGTCTGGTTGCCATGGCAATAAATTGCCACTAATTAGTAGTGTGGTTACCATGGCAATTTTCTAGTAATTACAGGTTACAAATGGTGCAAGGCTTCAACCCAACCCAATTAGTTAATTAGAAAGATTTAGAAATTTGTCCAAAAGGGAAATAACCTGCTTTGTAGAAAATGAAAAGAATGTGTCACAGCTTGGGAACCAAAGGCAGAGAGGAAATTGGAAGATGCCAGAGGGAAGAAAGACAGAGTTGCACAGTGGCAGGTTCTATGGCCCATTCAGGATTTTCAGAGGCCTGGAATAGGCCAGGACCTCTCACAGGACCCCATTCAGGGGTGGGGGGCTGCAGGCCAGGGCAGGGACAGCTGCCAGCAGCAGCCACTTGGCAGCTCTCGCTTTAATGAGTAGAAGTGGCGCTCAGATTATGGCTCAGCACCCGTAGAAAGGCCTCTGACAGCCTTCTCACCTCACTTCATATAGGAAAGCGACGCCGTCTTGGATGACGGTCATCAGTAGCGATGTAGATTCAGTGGTTCAGTTTTCATGAGACATGGACTCCCCTTGAGAGTGACCGGGTTAGCTTGAGGGCATCCCAGAGGTGTTAAGAAGGAGTCTAATCATGGAAACATTAAGAATTCTAATGCCTGTTGTCCTACCCTGTCCCCCTGGGTGCCCCATGACTTCCTCCTGTGGCATCTCTCAGGATGGGAGGGACCTAGGAGAACACCTTTCTCAAATTAGTATAAGTCCCTTCAGGGAAACCTCTGCCCTGTCCAGAGTAGGTGGTGGGGAGCCTGGCCCATCATCACCCAGCTCTGCCTAATTTCTCATTTATTTTAAAAGAAAAGTTCTAGAGTACTCTTAGAACTATTCTTGTTATGCTAAATAGCTTTTTAGAGTAATATATTTCAGATGCTAATGCACACACGGGAGTCTTGTTAGGATGCAGGATCTGATTCCATAGAGCCTGAGAGTCTGTTTCCAGCAAGCTCTCGGTGCCATTCCTGCAGCTGGTGCAGACCCGACTCCTGCTCACAGTCTGTCCACCAAGTCCTTTCATCTCTCACAGCTCATTTTTTAAATAACATCTAAAAAGTGTATATGTTTATCATGCAATGTGGTGTCTTGATATGCATATACAATGTGGAATGACCGACTTAATCTGATTAACATTTGCAATATCGCACATATTTAACACTTATTTGCTATGAGGTCACTTAAAATCTATAGTACTGTCCTAGCAAGTTCAAGTATATAGTGCCTCATTACTGACTATGATCACCATAGTATACAATGCATCCCTTGAACTTACCCCTCCTGTTTAACTTTTGTGCCCTTTAACCAACATCCTCTGTCCCCTGGCCATGACAGTCACCATTCTACCCTCTGCTTCTGTGATCCCCACATGAATGTGATCATGCATATTGTCATTCTGTGCCTGGCTTATGTCACACAGCATAATGTCCTCCAGGTTCATCCTTGTTATAAATGACAAGGTTTTCTTCTTTGTAAGGTTGAATAATACTTTAGTGCATAACTACCCCACATCTTCCTTACTCCTTCACACGTTGTGTCCTATTTGGGTTGTCCCGGGTTTGGCTGCAGTGAATATGCTGCAGTGAACATGGGCGTGTAGATGTCTCGTTAGCTATTGAGCTTTCATTCTCTTTTGCTGTATATTCAGTAGTGAAATTGCCGGATTATATGGTAGTTCTATTTTTAATTTTTCAAGGAACCTCCATACTGTTCCCGTAATGACTGTACCAATTTACCTTTCCACCAGCGATGTGCAGGATTCCGTTCTCTCCACACCCTGCGGACATGTGTAATCTTTCATCTTTTTGAAAATCCCCATTCTAACAGGCATGTCTCATCTCATTTGATTCTCTCAAAAACCCCAGAGTAGAAAAGGCAAATCAGACTACCTCCATTTTACAGATGAAAAACTGAAACTTAATGGGTAATATAAGCTTCACAAGCCCCTACAGCTCCTAAGAAGCCACGCTGGGACTGGAATCCCAGTCTTAACTCTAATCAGGCTTGTAAGAGTTTCCAGCATTTGAAGGTGTGGAGCAGGCAGAGCTGGACAAGCAGGAACTTTATCTAAAACCCAGTGGTTAAGACGGTTTGCTCAGCACATACTAAGTTTGGACTTTTTGACACATGTAGTTCAAATTTGTTCTTAGAGGTTTCAAAGCCTAATGTACAGCTAACTTGTTTTCTTTCTTTTAAAAATAATGTGTACTTCATTGGATTTTTCTTTGAAGTGACAGAAGTGATTCTTACTACAATGAGCAAAACAATACAAAGACATTCGTGTTGTGTTTGATGCTATATATGAAGTTATACTCAAATATTTCAAGGAAAGAGACACTATAGTAGCTACTGTTACATCAGATTATCTTGTGGTGAAACACTATGTTGCTTAAATTGTTCTGTTCTGACCTGTCTTATTATGTTGTTATGTCCTGTTTTATCTTAATCTCCTTCTTTCTTTTGATTTTTTTAATTAAAAAAAAACAATACAAAGACATTGAAAGGCCATCTCTCCTTCCCTCCCTAGTCCTACCTCTCCAAGATGCCAGTATTAACAACTTGGAATGTGGCCTTCCCTACTCTTCTCCAAACCCAAACAAGCTGTGTAAACATGTGTATTCAGAAATGTCAAGTATTTTCTTATCTTTGTGTAAAAGTAAGATCACACAATACTATTATTTGGCAGATTGCTTTTTCTTTTAACAATATATCATGGGCATTCCTCCAAGTCGATACATATGGATCTATGCAGTCTTTTCAGGAGCTACAGAATGATCTACCATATGGATTCACTGTAATCCATTCCACCAGCTTGCTATTATTGGACATGATTGCTTCCTATGTAAAACAATGCAAAATGAACATGCTTGCACCTATGGCTGCTACCTACAGCCGGAACCTATAGCAGAACTTATTTTTGTAGGTTCTTAAAGCAAGAACATACCCAAGGGTTCTGACCAGTATATTTGGGCCTCCAATGGGGTCTAGGGGCTGTCCAGGGACCTGTGAGTGGACCAAAATGACGTAGGTAGAACCAGGCTATTGTAGTCTAGCTTTTTGTCTTATAAGGGAAGTAGGTTGGCATATGGGGCTACAGTCAAGCCTTCTAAGTTCTTTGGTGCCTGAAATCATCCCTGTGCTACAGAGTGACTCAGTCTGACTCCTTCTTGGCCTCATGCTCAGTGACATCTGATTTATGGAGACTGTGAGCCCAGCATTGGCTCAGAGAAGCACCCGGAAGGTCATACTTCTCCCAGGGCTCTTCTGGGGCATCTCCCTGAAGCTTCTCATAGGCCTTGGAAGCGGCTCCATCCTCTAGCTGGGCCTGGGATTTCCTTCTATCACTCACTATGGGTCCGTGTCCTCTCCTAGGGGGCCGAGGTGTCAGCGTGGGCCCCATCCTCAGCAATAGTGCCTCGGACATCTTCTGTGACAATGAGAATGGACCCAACTTCCTGTTCCACAACCAGGGCAATGGCACCTTCGTGGACGCTGCAGCCAGTGCCGGTGAGTAAATGCAGCCCTGCTCTGTGCCTTTCAGTCCCCACACCAGGGGACTCCGGGCAGCGCTGCCTGCCCTGCCCCACCCAGCCTTAGGGAAATCACTTGTCACTTGTCAGGTGACGCTTTTGCCCCCAGTTACACACACACACACACACACACACACACACACACACACTCAGGCCACAAGGAAAAGGAATCGGGGACTCCTGACCATTGTCACTTTCCAATAACTGGCATTGATCTGTGATCCTCTGAGTCCCACTGTCTCCCAACATCAGTTTCACCTCCAAGCTGTCTCTTCCCATGTTGGAGCCCACCCCATTTATCTTAAGCATTCAGTTTAACCCCAAAACTTGGCACTTTTGCCAAGTGCCTGGTTTGTGCTAGGAACTGAGGATGTTGCCATAAGGCTGAAACCACTTCACATACAGAAAATGCAAACCTTCTAGAAGCATACATATACTCCAACAACTATAAGAAGCAGGGTTAGTCCCACATAAAAGAGGGCCCATGGCTCCCAATTTTGTGAGCCTTCCTCCCTTTGTGCTTATCCCCCATCAACCTCAGGACCTTCGCATCTGCTATCTCCTCTGTAGGACTGCTTTTATTTGTCTATAAAACATTTATGTGTCTTTTAACACTCATCTCAAATTTCACCTCCATGAATTGTTCCCTGACTCCCTCTGTGCTACTTGGTAGAGACTGGCCCTTCCTCCTCTATGTTCCCACTGCCCCTTATATAAACTTCTCACTCAGGGTTCTGCGTTACCCTCTTGATTGGTCTGTGAGGTCTACAAGGAGGGCGATGACGTTCTATTCATCCTTGATATAATGCTTGGTACCCAGTGCTCATCCAGTAAAGTTTGCTAAACGACAGAATGGACTGCTAGAAGCTGGTGACATAATCAGTCTGCTCTCCGGCCCCAAGTTCCTAGCCGTTTCACCCCCACCTTGCAACAAGAAATGGCAGGAGGGGAAGAAACGAGTAGGGAGAAAATAACTTCACCAGGTGACGGGGAGTCTAGACCATGTGTCAAAGGCCCAACTTCAGCTGTTGCTGACAGCTGGTGTCCACTCCCTGGGCATGTGCAGGCTACTGTCTCTGACCCGAGCGTATCTACTCCCAGAGTCTCCTGCTTTGGATTCTCATTTGGGGAGCCCCTGTCTGGAAGGCCCCCCGCGCCTGAAGTGTAGCCTGTCGGCCCCCCCTGCTTCCCGTCTCACCCCCCTGGCAGAGCTGAGGTTGGGCTGCCCTCCCCCAGCTCTCTTCCTGGTGTCACCCTAGCAGCCAGCACTGTAGCTGCTGAAAACTCAGAGAGCAAAGCGAAGCAGGAGTGGAGGAAGCCGGGGAGAGGAGACGTTACAGAGATGGAAGCCAAGGTGGGCAAACGAGGTGGAGTGGCTGGCAGAAGGCGGCGGGCAGGAGACGCGAGACAAGGTGCTGGGGCCGTAATTGAAAGTCAGAAGGATTGCAGGGGCTTAACGAGACATGTCAAGAGGGCATTCGTCACCCAAACAAATGCTGCTGGGAAAGGCAGCCTGGCACCGATTAGTCCTACGAAAAGGAAGCAGATCCTTGTCAAGGTGCCTCACACATAGGAGAGAAACGGGCCGACAGAGAAGGCCACCGACACTCGGACTGGGAGGTTTGCTGAGAACTAATGGGGTATTAATCCTGGGGATTGGTGGCAACCCCCAGCACTGTGCAAACCTCCTTCCTCAAGCGTGAGTCCCACTACCTCTTATTCCACTGTGGCCCGTCCCCCACAGCGGTGCCTTCCACCTCCAGGCTTCTCAGGGGCCCAGCGTCTGCTCTCTCCTCGCTCCCACCCTCAGGACCTCCCTGTTGGCAGCTGTGGCTGCCACCCCATTATGTTGTCGTATTCCTTGCCACCCATGGGCCTGTTGACCTCCAGCTCTTTGTCCGCTGGAAGGGTCAGCTTTTCCCAGCACTGGACCTGACCTGAAGAGCAGGCCTGCTTCGGACATCCGGGAGGTCAGGTTGTCACTCAGAGCACAGCCACCTTCCACCCACTGGTAAATGGAAGGCGGGTGACACTGGATGTAGGTTTGTATAAGGCATGCTCTGGTTTGCTCTGTCACAGCTGCAGTATTTCCTCTGCTGTCACCAGCATCCTCAGTTTGCCTGCTGTCAAATTATTTATGTCTCTTCATTCATTTGCAAGTACTTACTGAAAACTCCCAGGCAGCCACAGGCTGAGGCAGCCACTGCCTGCACACAGGTGAACCAAGAGGACAGTCCTGACCTCACAGAGCATGAGGTCTGGTGGGAATACTGGGTTCCAACCAAGTGAAACAGAAAGGGACATAAAGGCACCTCGTGATCGGCACTGTGAAGGAGAGACTGGGGAGCTTGACAAGGTGGCCGGGAGGGGCTGTGCCGATGAGGTCACTTGGGAAGGCTTCCCCAAGGAGACAGTGTGGCTGTGGCGGAGAGCAGGAAAACACAGCTAGAGGCCTCCAGGGGGAGTCCAGCCTGAGCAAAGGCCCAGAAGGTGGAAAGGGCCTGGTTCACATGAGTGTCCAGAGCTCAGCGAGTGTGGGGTGAGTGGAAAGGTGGGCAGGAGCACAGTCAGGCAGGGCTTTGGGATTCCTGCACAGAAATTTGAACTTGACCCAATGCAATGGGGAGCCCTTGGGAGACAAAAGAGTGATGTGTTTACCCTAGTGACTCCCAGGCCATGTTGGGGTGGCCAGGAAATGATTTAGTTCACCGAAAATTTCCACTTTTTTTCCTCGACCCATTCTGCCCCAAACTGAGTACAGTGTACTTGCTGTGCATACAAGTCTCTGGTCCCCTTTGCCCACAGATGGCTGTGCCACCTTCTGCCTTTATGGAGAGCTTGTAAGACACAGCTGTGTCTTCCCATCTCCCAGGAGGGCAGGAACAGTGCAAGGGCCACCCTCCCCTGTTGCTCAGGGTGAGTGTTCATGGAGTATGCACAGACACCACCCTGAGGTGCTTGCCTCTCCCCCCAGGTGTAGATGATCCCCACCAGCATGGGCGAGGTGTCGCCCTGGCCGACTTCAACCGTGATGGAAAAGTGGACATTGTGTATGGCAACTGGAACGGCCCCCATCGCCTCTACCTGCAGATGAGTGCCCAGGGGAAGGTTCGCTTCCGGGTAAGAGGTGTTTCTCTGCTTCCATTCGCCCGCTGCCAGGCCTGAGGAGGTGGTGCTCTTCAGAGCCTGGGGCAGGTCGAGATGAAGATGACATGCAGGAGATGATAGGTTCCGGCCTGGGCTTTATGAGACTCCTGGGCTCAGAACAGAGAGCTGGGCAGGCACCAAGGAAGAATGGCCTCCATGGTGGCTGGAGCCCCAGCCTGTGGATCACTCTCTAGATAGAGGCCACTGTTTATGGAGGCTCCTGAAAGACCTGACCTGAAGCTGCAGCTTGAGCTTTCCAAACTGAGGTTCAAATCCAGGGTAGAGTGTCAAGAAAGAGGGCGAGAGGGGCCACAGGGTTCCCAAGGCGTCCCCTAAGACAGATAGTGGGCTGGGGGAACCCTTCCTGCTCTCTTCCTGGACTGTCAATAGACCGTGACGCTGAAAATTTCTCAAAGGGCCTGTTGGCATTAATGGAAGTGCTACCAGCATGAGGAGCTTGACTTGGGACTTTCCCAGGGAGTGCAGCAGAGATCATAGATCACTGAAGCTGATACTAAGCAGCTAGAGTGGTTTGAAGGTACTTGAGTCTTGCCAAGAACACCCAAGAGAATGAGAAAGCTCTAGTAGTTTAACGTGCCTAGTGCAGTGTACAGGGTACTTTGTGTTTCATGCCCATGGATAACCCCCCCTCCAAGCTCCTGCCCTGTAGGAGCTACCTTGAGCTCCATCCTACAAAGGGGAGACCCAAGCTGTCTGGGTGGAAAGGAGGCATATTCTAAAATCACGGCTCTAGATCCTGAGTTCCAAGATGACACCCATCTTTAATCAGCTGTTGTTCTAATCCAGATACTCAGTTGAGACAATTTTGCCCTCCCTCCCTTCCCCGCCCCTGGACATTTGACACTATCTGGGGACATTTTTAGTTATCACAGCTAAGAAAAGGGGTACAATGGGCATTATCTTGGTTACTTTCCTCTCATTGTTGAGACAAAATACTTAACACCCAAGATAAAGCAAGGAAATGTTTATGTAGCTTACAGTTTTTGGAGGTTTCAGTCCCTACTCAGTTGGCTCCAAAGCAAGGTGGCATGGCTGAGGGGGCACCATTCATGGCAGCTGCAAAAGACAAGAGCAAAAGGGCAAAAGAGGAAGACATGCCTCTTCCCTTCCCCTATATCAGAGGCTGGCTACTTGCCCCTGGGTGCGTACAGCATTCACACTGCCAATCCCAGCACTAGATAACAAACCAATCACAAATGCTAGATTCAGCTGCCTCCATGACTGCATGAGGCTTTGAGGGGACACTAAGATACAGACCATAACAGGCATCCAGTGAATAGAGAGAGCTCGGATGCTGTTGAATGTCTCTCAGTGCACAAGGAAGCCCCGCAGCAAAGAATCTCAGTGTACGGGGAAGCCCCTAGCCCCAAGTATCAGTGTGCTGAGATTAAAAAAGCTGTTAACCCTTAAGCCCCTCACAGAACTCACAGGAACAATCAACATCATAATAATAAGTGCCCAATTTGTCAAGTGCCTCCCATGTGCCAGAAACCGTGCTAAGAACTTTACATACATTATCTCAGAAGCCCAGGCATTCAATGGGGGCAATCCCACGGGGGCTGTGTAGGTTTCCATTTTTATAGGATCGATCGAACAATAATGAGTTAGAGATCCTGAGAACTGCTTGTTCCTAGCTGTTAAGGCCCAGCTTAGCCCACGCTGACCAGCTGACCCAGCCCATCAGCAACTCAGCCGCGCTAATGCATCAGCTCGGTGCTCCCACCCTGTCTCTTTGCTCAGCTCACAACTAATGCAAGCCAGGTCCTTCCTGTGGCCAGCAGAGCAGGCCCACATCCCAGAAATATTGGCTGTGCCCTTCTCAGCCCTCTCTATTTGGGCCCTGGCATTTGGACAGGTACCCAGGATCTTTAAGGAACAGCCCTGCCTGTGGTAGAGATAGTCTGCTCAGAAACAAAAGCTCATCTTGCACAGCCCTTTTCCTCTTTAAGAGACAAATCCCATACCCAAGACCTTTGCCAGGCCCTCCCAATACTTTGCTGAAACTTGCAAGTCCTGGTCAGGTTTGGATCTCCACATAAGTCCCAGACATGGAGAGCTGATACTGAAACTTCCTCAAAGCCAATGTTAAAAAAAAAAAAAAAAAACCCTTACAGTTTCCAAGTAACAGTATATATACGGTAATAGACACAGTGAAAAACAGCTAAACCTTGGGGCCGGTTGTGAGGCAAGGCAACACAAAGGTCTGTCTCGTCCCCACTCTGCACCGCACATTTGATATGCAGTCCTCACAGCTCTTATGAGCCCCATGTCACTGATGAGATCTGTGAGGCTAAATCTCTTACCTAAGTTCACACATCTAGTCAGTGCTGGAGCCCAGATTCAAATGCACACAGTGCATTTTTATGCCTTTCCAACTTCCAACTCCCCACAGATGAAGGAGGTACAGCAGAAAGAGCACCACATCCACAATCAAAAGCCCCAGCTTCAACCCCGGTGGTTGCCATGGCTACTGTCGATTCCCTTTCCCTTCAGGACTCAGTTACCTCACCTGTAAAATGGCAACATTAATACGAAGTTGCTCAAAGGACTATGGGAAGGGTTAAGTGTGGCCCAGACTAGAGACAGTTAAGTGCTCACTGGTGTGCGCTGTGCCTGTTGTTCTTCCTCCTTGTTTTCCTCCAAGCAGCCTGAGGTTCATGTTCTAAACAGGCACCCAGGTCCCTCCTACGGAGGTGGGAGAGGAGGCGTGGGCCCCTTGGCTTTGTGTCCACACTCACAGTGGAAGGGGCAGCCTCTTGCCCAATCCCACTCTCCTGTGTGTTCACTCGAGCCCTTTCTCCTCCAGGACATTGCCTCACCCAAGTTCGCCATGCCCTCCCCTGTTCGCACTGTCATTGCTGCCGACTTCGACAACGACCAGGAGCTGGAGATCTTCTTCAACAACATCGCCTATCGCAGCTCCTCCGCCAACCGCCTTTTCCGGTACGCACTCCAGCCTGGTGGCTGGGAGCTGGGCGTCAGGAATCAGAGGGGAGGCTTGCAAGGCTTCATGGATTCCAAAACTCCTTTTTCTTTGTCTACCATTCATTGTCCCTCCAAGAGCTGGAGATCTTCTTCAACAAGAGCTGGGAATCTGAAGCTGGAAAGGCATAAAAAATTGTGTACATTTGAATCTGGGCTCTACCACTGACTAGCTGTGTGAACTTAGGCAAGAGATTTAGCCTCACAGATCTCATCAGTGACCTGGAGCTCATAAGAGCTATGAGGACTGCATGTTGTCAGGGCCCAGTGAAGGAAAGAACAAAAGAAATAGAGAGGAGGGGAGGCCGGAGGCTGAGCAAAAGGCTGCAGGATAGAGGCAGAGTCCTGGACTATTGCCAGGACGTGGCCCAGCGCGTGCCCGCTCCTCCCCCCATCTCCAGCTCCCTGGGCTAGAAACCCCCACCACCGCAAAAGGCATAAAGGTCAGGTCTTTGGGTGAACCTGGGTTAAGCAGAGAGGCAGGTTTATTTACCACAGATTTCTGGAGCCTGTATCGAGACCACAAGTGTTTGAACTTTCTAAAAGATAAATGGAGTGTTCCAAATAGGTTTGACCACAGAACATATCTTTCAAAGGCTTTTCTCTCAGGATTGGTTCTCTGAAGAACATCCTTTGGGAAACAGTGGAGGAGACAATGAATGGTAGACAAAGCAAAAGGAGTTTTGGAATCCAAGGAATCAGCAGTTCCCTGGGCACGATGTCTGGAAAGAAAGGTAGAATTTCAGAGGTGACATTTCTCCCCAGTGGGCCAGACACCTTTAGCATCAAAATCACTCAGGGTTCCTACTTATAACCCAGAATCCCAAGGCCCATCCCAGATCCCCAGGGTCAGAGTCATAGAGGACGAGGGACAGAAATCTATATTTCTATTCTTATCAGGCACCAGATGATTTTTATTACACTAGCAAAAAACACTGCTGGGAAAAGCCTCAGGACTTGTGACCAGAGAAGTCCCTGTTCTGGGCCTAAAGGTTGCTCACAGAGTTCAGGACCATATGGGGAGAAGAGGGTGGACCAAAGGTCTTGGAGCCAGGAAATGGGTCAGATCACCTGCTTGGTCCCCGGAGGTCCCTACCCTCTCTTTCAGGAAGGTCTAACTATTATTAAAAGGTGTGAGCTGTGACTAAGCATGTCTTAAAATATAATTATTAACCAAACATCAATCCCGACTGGATGTAATCACCCCCCAAAGGCATCAGATTTACTAATTAGGTACCTTGCAAAAAGCTTATTCACAACTTCCAGATTAATTGCAAGAGATCAATTGCTCGTTAACAGAGACAGTGCTTTCCTTCTTTGGCTAATAAAGTGTCACTTTCCAGGGCCCCTAAGCACCTAGGAGTCTACTACTCTGGTGTCTGTGGCCTGAGAATCCAGGCACCCCCCCTCCCAGCCATCTCTCTAGTTTGCTGCCAACCTCCAAGGCTCTCCTGATGCTGCACATAGGCTGGCACAGGCTGCCTGTGGACAGTCACCACATGGTCACCCAGTGGGGTAGTATGTTTGCTTCTACACAGGAGCTACCTCTTAAGCATGTGCCTTGGCCCCAGGTCCCTGTGGCAGATGGCTGGGTCCTGAGCACATAGCTCAGGAGCTACAGCTGGGACACTGCTCAGCTGGCTGCTCTGCAAATTAACCCCACCTGTCCCACTCATGCAGGCTTTTCACCTGCGGCTGAACAGGACATCAGAACTTCATAGGCTCCTTGAACCCAGTGCTCTCTTGTGGCGTAGCCAGGCACTGGGAACCCAAAGCTTCATATGCTTGAGTCTGTGGGTCTTTAATGATACCAACATCCATTCATCAACCAAACCAGACCCAAACCAAAGTGGAAGAAGTGTTGTTAATAATCACTGCAAGACAACAGTTGAAACAGGAACTCTTCCCAAGCCAACTGGAATGTATATGGTCCCCCACTTCCGCTTCTAAACATGCCTCTGATGTGTCTTCAACTCTCCCTCTACACCACTCCATGGTCTCTCTGGGAGGGTTCTTGTACCCACCTTCAGCTCTTCTCCCTTCCCCAGTTTTTGGTCCTGCAGAACAAGCTACAGGAAATGTAAATCTACTTTGGAAACTCTCCATTGCTTCCAGATAAGGCCCCCAACCTCTGGACTTTCCATTTCCCCATTTATACCGAAGGCACCTGAGCTCCTTTCAGCACTGGATTCCCCTGGGCCCGGGCTTGTACACTGATCCCACATTCTAGGCCCTGTGCTCCCTCTTCATCTGAGTGGACTCTGACCCCTTCTATGCTGGGCTCTGCTTGACCGGCCTTCCTCCAGTTGCCTCCACCTGGGTGAGCTCCCCCAGCTCCATGCTCCCCACGCCAACCTTCAACCCTGTGCATTGTATCTCCCTACTGACGTGGACTCTGAGCTGTGTTCCCACCTATGATCACTGTACTTCATGACCTCATCAAGGCAGTGCATGGAAGCTGCTACAGAAGAATATGTTCGCTGAATACAAAAATACAGTGCAACTGCTGGGTTTTCTCCTTGGAATTTCCTAATTCCTTGTCACCTGAACCAACAGGTGTCTGCCCAGCTGTGGCAGAACCTCCATGACATAAATGGTCAAAGGAACCATGGACATCAGCAGACAAGAAATGTACCTCCGTCGGGTGTGCACACACTCATGCACACTACACAAACCCACACCACCCAGAGACACACATGGACATACTCAGCGTGAATGCCCCGTGTGGACCTAGGACACCTCATGGGCATCTGCTCAATCCTGCAGGCACCTGCAGCTCTTCCAGCTCTCCCTGTCCTCCAGCCACCTCCAACTCAGGGGACCTTGTCCGCCTCCTGAAAGTATTGACCATATATCCTCATCCTCTTGGTTCTCTGTGCTTTGGGTAAACTGTGGCAGGGGTAGGGGTGCAGATTCCATATATGCCTGCTTTCCTCCCTTCCTCTGCACAATCAGGGCATAGCACCCGTGCTGGAAGAATCTAATGACAAGAAAAGTTAAAGAGTAAAGCACACACCATCACCATTAGTAAACTTAATATGGCCACAGGGCAGAACTTTGATAGCAGATATCTCTGAAACAAACCCATATGAGCAAGATTCAGAGTTCAAAATAGAACCCCTGCACCCCACAGAGAAGCCTTTCCTCCTGTTTGTCTCTGGAATTCATCCTCACGTCCCATAGACATGCGCTTGGAGCTTTCTGAGAGCTGGGCAGTGTTAGATGCTGTGGAGACGCTAAGATGAATAATACAAGGTCCCAGCCTGCGGAGAGCTCACAGACCAACCGGGAAGATAAGATGTATTCATACAGAACGAGAACACAGGCAGGAAGTGATAAAGGCCACAAAGGCGATAAAAGTGGGGAAGGAGGGACTGCTTCCAGCAGGACAGTCAGGGAGGGCACAGAGGGGAGAGCATCCGCACAGGGCCTGAACTCTGGGTAGTGTCCAGAACTAGGAAACCCAGGGCCACTCGGATAGAGTGAAGGTCAGTTGAAGGTATTTGTACACCTGCCCTTCTCTATCCATCAACTGCCCTTTCCCAGACTGTCTATAATTCATCCATTAGAGAAAGAAAAATCAATATTTACCAACATAAATTAAAACCCAAGAAGGGAACCACTGGAGTGTCAGCAGGGTCTGCGAGAAGAGAATAGCTTTGTGGGCATCTAGGTTAAGAGACAGAATGGAGCAAGTGGGCCCCTAGACCCCCTCCCAGGGGCTACCAGAGAGCAAGCCTGTCTCCTTCCTGCAGCGTCATCCGCAGGGAGCATGGAGACCCCCTCATCGAGGAGCTCAATCCCGGTGATGCACTGGAGCCTGAGGGCCGAGGCACAGGTGAGGGTACCCGAGACCTGTGGCCTGTGCACCCCCATCTTTCTGCTCCCTGCACACCAGGGGCAGGAGGTCCAGCACAGCCAGTCCCCCAGCAGGCTTTTCCTGTCCCTGCTGCCGTGAGAGTCATGACCCACAGGGAAGGTACCAGCAGAAAGGGAGGAGCCTGGGACACTACCAGGTAGGGGGTAGAGGCAAGGACTGTCCTTCAGTCCCAGGGCTAGAAGGACTTCAGGAGTCCGGGTCTGTGGCAGGTAGTTTCTCCAGCCAGGCCTTGCCGTGGGGAGGTGGGAAGGGAAAGAGTGGGTCTTTTCTGCACCCAGGCAGAGAGTTCTGTGTCTGCCTCCTCCCTTCTTGGCACTCAGCTTGCTGTGAGGCAAGGAGCACTGACCAGGAGTCCCAAGACCAGGATCCACTGTTGCCTCATTTTGTAGTCTTGGCAAAACTGCTTCGGTTTCAGGGTCTTGTTTTCCACCTAAAAGGAGGGATCATTATATCCACCCTCCTCACTTTCTAGGTTGTAACAAGGACCAAAAGGAGACCAAATTGATAAATTGATCAAAAACCCCACCTATATGAATGTAAAGGTATATTATTCAAATGACAACAGCAGAGCAGTGGAGGAATAACTCACACTCCACCCTCTATGCTATGTCCGAGGAAAGGGAGAGGAGTTGTGTTCCATGAATTCCTGTGCTGAGACTGACCCAAAGCCCTGTCCCCGTCTCAGTGCTGAGCTCTTTCTGTACCTCCCATGCTCAGGGCTCTAGTGGCTGGGCCTAGCTGGGGGCTCCTTTCCTCTCCTTTCTTCTGCTTGCCAATGGCCGGAGGTGAAATCTGCATTGTTCGTAGGGGGCGTGGTGACCGACTTTGATGGAGACGGGATGCTGGACCTCATCTTGTCTCATGGAGAGTCCATGGCTCAGCCGCTGTCTGTCTTCCGGGTGAATCAGGTGTGCACTAACCCGGGACCCTTAGATCCCAGCCCAATGTGTTCTTGAACCCAGGGCACAGGAGCCTAGGATGCTTGCTGGCCAGCCTGGTGGGAATGTAAAGCCCAGGCCTAGAGAAAGCACATCAGTCCCCCACAGCACAGTGCACCCCAGGAAGGCCCCCTCACCTGCCGGGAGAAGCCCTGGGCCCCTCTGCCTTCCACTGTCACTGCTCTGCCAAAACTTTTTCTTGGGTCTCTTGGCCTCTCCCAGCCTGCCTTCTGTTCAGCTGATCTGTCTTTGCCTTGTTTCTCTTTCTGGCCTCTTTCTCCTCCCTCTGCCCTTTTTGCCTTCCTCGCCCTCCTCTCCCTCCTTGTCGTCCTTCCCCTCCCTGTTCCTCCTGCCCACCTCTCTGCTGCCATGCCTGCCTGTCTCCCTCCCTCCAGGGCTTCAGCAACAACTGGCTGCGAGTGGTGCCACGCACCCAGTTTGGAGCCTTTGCCAGGGGCGCCAAGGTTGTGCTCTACACCAAGAAGAGCGGGGCTCACCTGAGAATCATCGATGGGGGCTCCGGGTACCTTTGTGAGATGGAGCCCGTGGCACACTTTGGCCTGGGTGAGTTGGGGCCCAGTTGGGGCTCAGTGAGTGGGTCCTGAAAATGAGTCCTGCGGCATGCTGCTTGCTTTAGGGACTCACAACACCAGCATCTTCGGGGCACCACTTCACTGTGACAGCACAGAGGACATCAGCTATTGGAGGCCAAACCTGTGTGAGATGAGCCTATATTCCAGGGGAGGGAGTGGGAAAGACTGACTAGTATTTCCTGCCTCTCTCTCGTAGGACTCTCCACCTAGGACCTGGAAGAAATTAGTTCATTTTGAGTCAAGGCGTTTAATCCTCCATTTATCCAAGGCCATAGCCTTGCTCTTGATATGCTGGTCTGTACCAAACTTGCCCACAGCAGCTGTTCCCCTGGCCTCTTGGAGGCTGGGCCAGTGTTTAAGGCTTCTCACCAACGCTTAATGTCTTCCAGCAGATAAGAGTTTTGGAGCAAAGCTCCCACACCTTGCAAGAACTTTATGTTTAACAGCCAAAAGCTAGGAACACTGTAGATGTCCTCCATTAGGCTAATGATTCACAAACTGAAATGCATCCGTGCTGTGGAATATTCCCTAACATCAGAACAGTAAACCAATGGTATGGGCATTGGAGTAAGTGAAGAAAAGTTTGTTTCTGAAAGTCACATGATTCCATTCCCATAACCTTCCCAAATGCCAGAGAACAGCTTGGTACCTACCAGAGCTGGAGATGGTGTAGCAAGAATGGCACGTCTGTCATGATGGGACAGTTCTGTATCTTGACTGTGATGACTACATGAATTTAAAACTACAAATTTAAAAGATGCCATAGAACTGCACACACCCCTTTACCTATGGCAAACCCCTGGGTGTAAGGCAGCACTGCTGTTATGTGCACTGGGACAACTGGGTGGTGGGCTTAGGGGACCTTTCTGTGCTATCTTTGTAACTTGCCATGAATCTTCAATTATTCTAATGTAAGATGTTTTTTAATGCATGGAGTGATTAGGGAAAGGGTATAAAATTTCTTTGGGGATAGTGTGCAAGGATTACAATAAAAAAATCACTGAGAAGCACACTAGGAAGCAAGCCAAGAGTTAAGAAAGCAATTGAATCACAAATTCCTAGGTTCAAACCAGACACCTTCCCATGTGTTAGCACCTCATGAGGTGATATGATTTTAATATAAAAAGATTAGGCAATATGGTCTCAAATTAATAAACATATACCAATGTTAATATTATACACACATTATATATGCACAGAAAAAATTTGAAAGAAAATGCAAAATGTGTGAACAGTATTTCCATCCACTTAGCTAAATTACTAAAGTAGCTTCACATACTGCAGATGCTGTGCTGGGCACTGAATTCCCTTTACTTAGTCCTCACAACTACCCTGAGATGGCCATTATCATTCCCATTCTTACAAATGGAAAAGCTGAAGATCAGATCTGCCCAAGGTCGTGTGATACCCACAAGCACAGCTGGGTTGCAAACCCAGGCCTGTTGAGAGTGTGATTTTTATTTTCTTCCATGTTTTGGTATGTGTGTGTTGCAGTTTATATAGAGAACACATAATATTTATGAAGTCTGAAAAGAAGTAGTAAATATTCAGTGGCCCCAGGGCCTGGTTATATGAGTATGTTCTCAAGCCATTGCTCCCCAGATGGGTTGGCCTGAGTTTGGGGCATCTATCACTCCTAAGGCAGCCATTTCCTATGCTGGTCCTAAAGGCGCAAGGTGACTTTTAAGTACAGCATCTTCTCACAAAATAGCAGTAGCCAGTGTTTTTGGAGCACTGGACTAAGTGCTTTGCGTAAAGATTTCATTCAGTTTCAGCACAGCTTGGTGAATATCATCACCTGTCAGAAAAATGAGGCTGAGATTGAGGGACTTGTCTCCAAGTCACACCTCCGGAAGACAAGGAGGGCTGGATTTAGATTCTATTTCCTTGGACAACATGGTCTGAGCTGTGACTGCTGTGACTCACCACCTTCCTGGCTGGTGTATGCCCCAGTCAAGGTCCTCTGCTCTGCTGCTTTTTTCTTGGACATCGAATCCCCTCAGGCGACCCAAGGGAGAGTATCCAACCACCAAGGTGACTGCCGTGGTCTCAAAGGCTGGATTTTTATCCAGGTACCTGGATCCCACCAGATAGACAAGGACAATGAGAGCAAATCAAAAGAGTGCTCGGAACTGGGGTTAAGGTTGTCCATCCCCACATCCCATGAGCTGCCTCTACTATTTTAAAATATACATTATGGACCTCTTTGGGTCCCTTCTCTGGCCAAGAATTTGCCAGGAAAACAGACCTTCAGCTGGGCAGGCTTTCCAAGTGATTTGGTGGGATTCAAGGGCTCCAGAACCATCAGACTCCCATGCTCCAAGCAAAGTACACTGCACCTGCTGGGCCCCCTCCCGGTGTCAGTCTGCCCTATTTTTGCAAGGCCACAGGAGTTGTTCTTGGTTTGAACTCTAACTCAGACCACTCCTCTAAGAGGCTTCTCTCACCTATCTGCAGGGTTTCCCAGAGTATCTGGGATCCCCCAGGAGAGTCATGGCCAGCATCACCTTGAAAGAGAGGTGCTACAAAGTGGCCTCAGGCCACCAGCAAGGGCACAGTCCTATGCCAGGAGCCCTGGAGAGAGAACAGCATCTGTACTTATTCTTAACAGCCTTTTTCTTCCTCTGTCTGATTTTAGAATAATATACATAGATCATAATAAAATTAGAAAATATAACAAATCATTGGGGCTGGGGATTTAGTTCAGCGGCATAAGCGCCTGCCTTGCAAGCAGGCAGTTGTGAGTTCGATCCCTGGTACCGATAAAAATGAAAAAGACAAAAAAAAAAAAAAAAAAGAAAATATAACAAATCATTAATAAGGAAGTAAAAATCACGCACAATCTCAGACCATGTTTGGAATATCAAGTAAAAAGTAAACCTCTCACCCTTCCTCCTCCCCCAGTACTGAATACATTTATTCAGTTCCCATATCCTGAACACCTACTATGTGCCAAACACTAAACAAACATCCTTACTAAAAGCACTCTCATATTCTAGTGGAAGGCATATACAATAAACATAGCCAGTGGTGAAAATATAAAATGTTAGCTGATACTCAGTGCTATGAAAAAAGAAAATACCAAGTAGGGAAGGGAAGGAGAAGGAGAAGGAGACAAGTAGTGAATTTCAAATATGAAGACTAGGTCGTCTTCGTCAGCATTCCAGGCTTTTTGCTATGCTTTCATCTCATGCAAGATACATTCATAGATATGTACTACTTGAGATTTTTTTAAACAAAAATGATGATATTCCTCCACTCGTTCTAAAAATTTGCTTTTTTCCTTTCCTTAACAATATTGTCTGACCGTTACTCCAAATCTACGTAGAATTCTTTTGTTTTCTTTCAATACTGTGGAGTATTTCACTATGTGGCAGCAATCATAAATTATTTACAAGTCCGCTGTGGATGGTCAGCTCGATCATTCCTAGTTCTGAGCAGGTTGAGGGAGAAGGGGGCTGTCCAGAACCCAAATCCAAGAAAGGCCTGCCTTAGGCTCTGCTTAACGTAGAAGCAGCGCAGGTCCAGGCTGCGCGGGGAGGAGAGGGAAGATCACACGCAGAGGGGCTGCGGGCAGCAGCGCAGTCACAGCCAGCACCAGTGGCCCTGCTCCCATCCTGCCTCCATTAATCATGCCCAGCCTCCTCCTGACTGTAGCAAGGTGTTGTGAGGAGGCGCTGGACATGGGCATGGATGTGAACACCACACTCGCGAGCCTCTCCACGGACATCTGCTCAGCCCTTCCTTTCCCATGGACACCAGGACAGCTCTGAGCTGCATTCACTGGCACTCAGCTGCCTCAAGTAGCCCCTGCTGGTGCTGCAGACCTTGCTGGGTCTTCATGCCACCCAAGTCCCTCTGCAGAGCTGGGCTGCATGACACTGCACAGTGAAACTCAGGCCTTGCTCTCCAAGGGTCCCAAGGGCCTGTCCAGCTGCACAGAACACTCCAGGGCCCTCTTAGAGGCCTGTCCCTCCCCAGTGAACCCTACACCTTTTTGCTCAGTTGAGCCCCAGCTTCATTCTCCAGCTCCTCCCACATGCCAAGGCCTGTCCCCACCCTCCCAGAGGCAGACCCAGCGCCCACCTCATCACCAAAGGGTCCTGCTTGTGGTGTTGATAATGCCCCCTCCCAGCCTCCACCGTGGCCACTACTGGGCATCACATCCCAACTCACCATTTCCTGCCTGCCGGGCTGAGCCAGCTCACTGCCAAATCCAGGAAACAAGAACAACTGCCAGTAATCTCCCCGCCCCAAAGAGCCCCCACCGGGGGTCACTCCCTCCCTCGGGCAGCCTCCTGACACTGGTGGTGCCCCCCACCCACACCGCTACTTCCTCTCAGCTAATTGTCTGCAAGTGACTCAGCTGCCTCTGAGCCGGCTGGTGCTCATTTAGGGAAGGAAAATTCAGTAACCCACATAAAAATGGCTTTATTAAAGTGCAAAAATATTCTACCAACTGTATTCTCACCATCTGTTTCACTTGTAATTCCTCTGAAAAGTGCAGTTCTCTGTGCTTCCTTGGCCTTTGTCCTTTAAAAGCTGCCAGAGTCAACTCCCTGCTGCTCCTGGCCTGCATCTCTGCGGGTTGACGGGTCCTCCTCTGCACACCCCTCCCTCCCTTCCCAGCACAGACGGGTCAGCTGAGGTGCAGTGTCTGAGAGCCCAGCTCCCCTCAGCTGGGCAGCTTCATGAACACTGGATTTGGCTCCCAGGTGGGGCAGAGGATTAAATGGTCCAAGGACAGGAGCTCTAAAGTCTCTCCCTAGTCACCTCTCCTCCTCTTACCACTCCTTCGCCTTTTTGAACGTCTCCCTGGGGTTCACACACACTGTTAGCTATGCTCTTCTCTCTGCCTGCATTTCCCTTCCTTCCTTTCTCCATCTCACAAACTCTTACTCCTCCTCCAGAACCCAAATGAAATTGCCCACCTTTCTGAGTGGTACCAATGCTATTCCTTCCCCTTCCTGGTTTATTATAATATAATCACTTGTGTTCATTGCTTCCACAGGAATCAATTCCTCCAAAACAAGATCTGGGTCCCTTCCAGGCATGCTGGGCTCGTGGTCACTTTGCAATGCTTGGCACTTGGTGGCTGCTGGACTTGCATGTGGGGCTGTTACCAGAGGAGGGCCTCAGGGGAGATGTTCCCAGTTTCTTGGTACCCCAAACAAAGAACTGAATAGGACAATGAGCAGGAGTAGCAAGAGTGGGATTTATTAAAAGCCAGTGAGAAGAACCTATGGGCCCCATAATGGCAGACACCACGTCTCTTAAGGACCTGGAATTATGGGAAGATCTGTAGCTGGGGGCTAATAGTAGTCATGACCAGGGCACCTGACCCAGCACACCAGGTAGAAGAAGAGTTTCTGACCATACAAGATTTTTAGGGAAAATATGGCATCCAAAAGCCCCCAGCGAGATAGTCAAAACTGCAAAGCAAATGAGGTTTGTGAAAGCTGGGGTCAAGGCCTTTTGGCTTGCACATGCCTGGGGTCTTGAGGCACAGGATGCCCTCTCCTGTCGGCGTCCTCACATTTTAACACCATTGCTCTCAGTCCTCTGTGGGTCACGGTCCCACTCTCCTTTCTACCTCAGGGTGTGCGGTGTAACAAAGGTCCTGAGACTGTGGGCCACGGGGGCAGACAGACCTTGGCTCCTCACCGGGTCTCGGTTTTCTCATGTTTAAAGTCATGGAAATAATAAAACCAGCGTCTTCCTTTCATACTCATTTTACAGCTGTTCTCTTGAGCTGTGAGGGTTTGGTGCAACACCCCCATAAAGCTCCTGGTACAGTTTGGGACACATTGTAAGCATTCACTGTTGTTAATAAGAGAAAGCCCTTTGGAGACTGCAAGGTGACACCCTAAGAGCTGATGGTGACAGCATGATAAGGGTGTTGATTAATTAGAGGGGCAGTGTTTATACTGCAGGGCAGAATTATGTCTCCCAGGAGTGTTAGGGCTCTGGGGCAGCACCCCCATCTTACAGACAAACTGAGGCCCAGTGAGCTCTCTCAATCCTCCTAATACTGTTTCTCAGCTCTGCCGGGTCTGGAGGGAGGGAGGAAGAGAAGAAGCAGGTCTTGGAACCCCACCGCAAGCACAGGCTTTGCAGAGTCTATGAATATTCCGTGACTCCTGAGTTATTTGTGGCACTTCAGTCAAGCTGGAAAATGTATTCATGTAGCTGTTCTGTTGGTGTCGCTGAAAACATTTGCTGGGTTTTTTTTTTTTTTTTTTTTTTTGTCTCCTTTAATTGAAATGTTTATTCTTTTATCTACACCCCTTATTTGGGGCACTGCCAAATCTCTTGCACCTCAAGATTCTTCAAAACAAGGAAACAGAACTTGGCTGGCCCTGCCCGCCTCCATTTCCAGCCCTTGGAGTTAAAGATGAGGGCGGAGTAGGGACTGAAGTCTTCTGCTTGATAAAGCAAAACCCTGAGTCACGAGCACTGGCACTGAAGGAAAGGGAGAAACGGGACTGTGGCTATGGGTCCCTGCCCTGAGCGTCTCACCGTGGCTGCTGCCCCTGCTTGTCCTGTCCCAGAGGGACAGCTGGTCCGTGCCCCCCTCACTGCCTGCACAGCAGCAGCAGCAGGACAGCGGCACGTTCTAATGGACTCTGGGGCAGGCAAAGTGGGAGGAGCAAGGTGGACCTGATACAGGGAGGACTGTGAAGCTGGCTGATGTGGCTGGCCGGGCTGCCCATGGAGTTGGAACTGGGAAGAGATAAAGCTGGGCCCTATTCTCCAAAACGGTGCCATGAGGCCGTTTGACCTCTGTGCACGGGTGCCCGTACTAGAGTCTCTCAAAGTGTTTGTGGAGTTTCCAACTCTGGTTTTTGTTTTGTTTTTTTTTAAGTGCTACAACCTCTTTTATATATCAAAAATCTCACAGACAAGACTCTACCCCCCAGTAGCTACCAATGTCACATCCATTGATGGATAGTAAAAACCAAATGCCAGTATCAATTCACCAAGGTTTTAAGAGCAATTGGTTTTCTAACAGTGTCTGTCTACGTTTGGGGGAAAAAAAGTAGTAGTGGGTGATCTGTTGTTTATTCAGCCTAGAAGTGAAATTTATGGAAGCCTATGGATTGCGTTTCCCCACCCCACCCTACTGGGTGATTAGTGGTAGCTCTACCCTCCCTCCATCTATGCCCTGTGACTGGGCCAGGGGCACTGCCCCTCCTTGCAGGTGAAGTCCAGCCACCTCCTTCACACCCCAAACCATCACCGCTAGCCTGACTTTCCACAAGGACCCATTTCCCTTTATACTTGACAAATCTTCCTGCCCTGCTTTCTGCCAAAGATACCGTACATGGCTTTAAGGATGTGTGCACATGTGAGTATCACCTCAGCTTTGCCTGTCTCTTGTACACATCTCAGCTGTACAGAACGATGTTCTTAAGTGCCCTTGGCCGCATCTCTTCCAGGTCTTTATTAGAGCTCAGGTCAAAGGTTTCCTCCCTAAAGCCTGTCCTGGGCACGCTAGATAGAGGAGCCCTCCAACAGCCACCCCATCCTCTTTACCCTGTTACTCAATTTTTGTTTTCTTCATGGAGCTTGTCAATGACATGATTTATTTGTTCATATATTTGCTTGTCTTCCACATGGAGAATGGAAACCCCACAAGAACAATGACATTCCCAGTGACAAAAGAGGGGCTGGTCCCCAGCACACTTCTGTCAATATAAATGAAAGAGTCCTGCCCACGGCTACACAGTGAATGAGCTGCAGCCCCAAGATTCATCCCTGGGCCTCCTCTTTCCACCATGTTCTTTCTAAAATACCCAGTAAGTGGTAAACTGCTGGATCCCAACGTCAAGGTGTTACCACCAGACCTTCCGTCTCCCCAGGTTTAGCCTCCTGCTGGCTGGACTGTCAGCTGGAATGTGAGTTCTACAGCTGCGCTGTCCAATATGGTAGCCACTGGCCATCTGTGTTTATTTCAATGTGAGTTAGTTAAAATTGAATGAAATTTAATTTACTTCAAGTACTCAACAGTCCCAGGTGACTAGTGGCTACCGCACGGGACAGGACAGATCCATAAGACTTCCACCAATGAAGGAATTTCAGCTAGCCAGCACTGCGCTAAAGAGAGGGCGCCTGGATCTGTCTTACTCATGTCCCCAGCCCTTGGAAGAGTGGTGCATTAGCAGTTTCATTACAGGGATGAGTACATCCGTGTCCATACGAGAGCCTCTGTCTCCTCTGCCACTGACCTCTCTCCTTCCCACAGGAAGAGACGAAGCCAGCAGTGTGGAGGTGACGTGGCCAGATGGCAAGATGGTGAGCCGGAGCGTGGCCAGCAGGGAGCTGAATTCTGTGCTGCAGATCCCCTACCCCCGGGATGAGGACAAACTTCAGGACCCAGCCCCACTGGAGGTGGGTCAAGGCATTTGGATCAGATTCCCAGAAAACCAGGCATCAGCTACAACCCACAGGCCTGTAGAATGATGAAACTCTTAGCAAAGGGCAGGATTCAAAATTATTCCTCCATTTGTAATTTGCACAATACCATCACACTCATATCTTTTCTGCTTCTCATAGAAATTCTGGAGAATCTTCATGTCAACTATTTTGCACCCATTTACATAGGAGGAAAACTGAGGCCAAAGAGAGGGGCACCCTAACCATACCCAATTGTAAACAGGGTTATGAATTGACCCTCAGTCTCTGTTACCCTCCAGATTATTTCCAAGGCTCTGAGGAGGACTCCTAGTGCCCTAAGGCTGGTCTTGGGCCCCATAACAGGGCCTCTTGGGGCTCTTTGAGGAAGCAGCTGTGGACTGATCTCTGTTAAGGCACACAGATCCCATATGCAGGGAAAGGAGCACAAGTTTGAGTTAGATGTTGTTGGTTTCCCCTCTCCACATTCCCAGTGCAAGGGAAAATGTCCTAGGAGGGAAGGCTCCCCCAGGTGTGAGGCTAAGCGCACCCTTCATGCTGAGGTCGGGTGACAGCTGCCCTGTGGCTCTGACTAGGAGGGGACCTGAGGTAAGGCCTCCCTGTCTCACCAGTGTCTCTGCTTCTGCCCCTCTGCAGTGCGGCCAAGGATTCTCCCAGCAGGAAAGGGGCCACTGTGTGGGTGAGTTGCCCGAGGGCACCGGGGAATGGGGCAGGGCTGGGGTCCCTCGGGCCCATCAGTCAGACCCACAGCAAGGTCCGGGGTGCAGACAGGGGCAGGAAGGGAAGGAGAAGAAGGTGCTGTTTGTTCCAGGACTCTGGATACCAAGACAACTGCCATGTGACTCACCAAGTGTCACTAGTGACTAGGAGGCTGAGTCACCACAGTTCTGGGACCTGGCAGTGCCTGTCTGCCACGGAGATAGAACACACTGGGGAGGAGACACACCACCACATGAACATTGCAGTCCAGGATGACTGGGGGCGGGCACGCTTCACCCTGGTACAGGTGGAACAGCCACATGCCTTGGCCAGGCAGGGGAGCAGCCAGCAGCGGGGCTGGTGGGCAAGCATGAACCCTCCCTGGGGCATCTAGGCAAAGCTGTGTGGGGCAGGGCACAGTGCAGATGGGCGCCTGCAACTTGGGGCAGTACTGGAGGTCAGGTCACGGTGACACTGCCAAATGGCAGATCCGTGAGGGTCCAGTGACCTGCTAGGAGTCCCCAAAGGCCTGGATGATGAGAAAGGACAGTCCCAAGGCTAACATCTTCCCTCCCAGTGCAAGGCAATGAGGGCTCGGCCCACAGGAATGAGCCGAATGGACACAGCCCTTCCCCTGCGGAGCTTGTGGCCGATGGAGACGCCCACCCACAAGGGAATAGCTTATGATCTCACAAGGGGATCGGGGCTGGGATGGACAGAGGCAAGAGCCTGGGAGCACAAAGGTGACACTTAAATCAGTCTAGGGAGAGTCCTTGCAATTGACCTAGAGTGGTTAAGCTGGAACCTGACAGGTGAGAAGGATTTGGACAGGCACCGATCAGGCAGCAGAGGCCTTGCCAGGAAGCCACACAGCTACAGGAGTCGGGGAGCGAAAGGTGACTCCCCCGTACTCTATGCCTCCATGCTGAACAGGGAGCACATAGAGACCCTAGTTTCCTCTGCATGCCAAAGACTCTTAAACCAGTCAGCCGCCCCCTTCATCGTCCAACAGCCACGGATTGCCTCCTCTGTGGTACCAAGTAGCACCCTGGCTGGGGATGCAGCTCAGCCACTGCCCCGAGGAAAGCGCACTTTAGAGAGGGACACAGACCCCAAACACAGGGTCACACGGCTAGGCAAGGCAGCTTATGAACCCTGTAAGCGAGGAGCTCTCTGGAGACTCTTCTGGGTGGAGAGGACCTTTAAGCCAAATCTGAAGAATGAGAAAGATCCAGCTACAGAAAGAGCTGAAAGGAGAGTTTTTCTGGACGATAGAAGAGCAGAGACAGAGCTGCCAGTGCATTAGAGGGGCTGCACACCTGAGATGGAGAGGAGGCAGGAACGTGTCCAGAAGGGGCTTGAGGCTCCAGGAAGGAGTCCAGACTTTGTTCTCAGGGCCCTTAGAAGGCAAGCAGAAGAGTGAGCTGATGTAATTCAGGTTCTTCAAAGATCACTCTGGCTGCTGAATTGAAGACTGGGTTGGAGGGAAGAGTGGAAGCCCGGAGGCCAGTAAGGCAGCACCCACAGAAATCCAGGCAAGAGATTGTGGTGGCTGGAAATAGGGTGGCGGCAGATGAGTGAAAAAGTGGACAGAGAAGAGTGTACAGTGGGGAGGAGGGCATGGCGTGGGATTGCACGTGGTGCGAGAAGAAGGGAGAATTCAAGGATCGTCCCAATTTCTGCTGGAGCAGCTGAGTGGATGATGGTGGCATTAACTGAGCTAGGGTGGGTGGGGAAGGGACAGAAGAGGTGTCAGAGCTGAGAGAAGTCCAAAGTTCTGTCTTGGAGGTATTACTTTGTACATAGTAGACATCCAGGTGTGAAGGAGGTCGTCAGTGATTGGATTCCTAAGTCTGGGGCGCAGAGAAAAGGTCATGGCTGAAGTTTGCAGTCATCCGTGGACGAAGGGGTCACCTGCAGGAATTATGGTGGCAGAAAAGAAGACCACGCCTAGAGTACCCCTCCCCCAGATGCACAGGTCAAATACAAAAGGAACCAGATGGGGGAACTGAAGTAAGGGACAGGGACATGCCCAGTGAGAAGGGACATCCCCGAGGTCACAGGGTGGGCAGGCGTACTGCACCCCTCTCTGCACACCTCCCTGGTGAGTGCCGCCCCACCTTTCAGACACCGACGAGTGCATCCAGTTCCCATTCGTGTGCCCTCGAGACAAGCCCGTGTGTGTCAACACCTACGGAAGCTACAGGTGCAGGACCAACAAGAGGTGCAGTCGGGGCTACGAGCCCAATGAGGACGGCACGGCCTGCGTGGGTGAGTGGGGCCCTAACCGCAGCCTCGTAGCAAGAGGAGGTTGCCCTGCACTGGGGAGCCCTGGGGCCCAGCCCCTGCCTTCTCCTGTAGGGACAGAGCCACTTTAGATTCATGTTGGGTCTCCAAGGAAGACCATGACAGAGGCTTGGAGAAGCCCCGTGGCTGCTACCACCACCTGCATGACCTCGGGTGCTGTGTCCTGGCCTGAGGCTTTTGCTCTGCTCTCATCTCCTAAAACTCGTGTTCCTACCCTGAGGTCAACCTGTATTTTCATAGCTTGGATGTGAACCATGAGTCATCTTTGGCTGAAATTCTGAACTGGTACTTGTCTTCTTCCTCCCAAACTCTTCCCTCCCCATTCTTCCCCTACCCCTTTCTCTCTTCCCTGTTCTCTGCCTCCCTGCCTTACCTTTTCACAGCTCAAGTGGCCTTTTTAGGTGGGTATTCTTCGGCTGCCTTTAGAATCTCTGAGCCTCTGTCTCAGGCCTCATATCTTTCTCTAGGCCTTGGACTTTGCCTTCAGCTATATGCACTTTAAATCCCATCAATAAAGGAAAAAACAAAACAAACTAACAACCTTTGTGGAAAAGTAAATCTCTCTCCTGCTGCCTGTCTTTCTGTACACCGGGTAGACTCTGCCTCCTGCTCCCTCTGAATGGACAGCAGGGGCGGCCATCTTTGAACAGGAAAGTTTGTGAAATACTGATCCAACCACAGTTGTTTGTGAAGCCTTTCTTTGCATGTTTTCTGAGAAAACAAAGAATGTTTCCCTTGTCCCCATCCAACCTCCCTTGCTCCTTCTGAAGAATCAAGATAGTCCTGTCTCTTCTGTACCTTCCAGTGTCTTGAGAGCTTCTTATTTTGCCCTTTACAAACATGGCTCTCAGGTTGCTGGTCTGGTTGATCTAATAATGTATCATGTGCCTGCTGCTTTGGCCTGTGCTGTTGCTGCTTTGTGTGTCCTGAATTCTTGTGGTAGCAAAAGCCTTACTGGAGTTGATGGTGATGATGGGAGGGCAAAGGGTGGTCCTGTGGGACTTTGATAAAAATGGTAAAGTTCGAACATGCTAAGTCTTCCAGCTTCTTCTCTGGAGAAATAATCCAGTAAACTCTCTGCAAGATATTAGCACCCAGCTGGTAGGGGGAAGAATGTGTGTGGTCAAGTAGATGTTGGTTGGAATGCTGAATTAGCGGCAGGCCTCCCTCCAGGAGATGCTCGGAAGGCAAGTCATGACACAAGGAAAGCGCCACTCCCGGCATGAACTGTGCTGTGGGTGTACGCAACCATCTTCATATTTGGGGAAGCATTTGGACCGGGAAGGCATGAGCGCGGGACAGACAAAGAGGGAGTACTCTGGGCCTTTTTCTTGGGGGAAGTCACATCTCCATTACAGGACTCACTTCCCCTAATCTAATGGTGAGAGGATTGGGCTAATATTTCCCAAAGAGCATTTTGTTTTATTTTGTTTTGCCTTGCTTTGCTTTCCTTGGCTTTGCTTTTGAGAAAGAGACTCACTATGTTGTTCCTACTGGCCTTGAAGTTACCATATATGCCAGGCTAGCCTTAAACTCACAGCGACCCTCCTGCCTCAGCTTTCCAAGTGCCAGGATTATAGATGTGCCTTACCACGCCCCAGGAGACTCTTCCCTTTCTAAGACTTCTCAGTGTGTGTCTGGACACAGACATGGCTAATCTCAGACTGCCCTGATTTCTAGAAAGAGTCTTGCAACTCAGTGTCTTAGAATCCTGGAAGCTTCTGTGGCCTGAGCAGCCTTTGGAAATGATGTAACACCACAGAATATGCTCACAACGAGCCTCAGGTAGTGAAGGCATAGTATAAATCAGAGATCTATTCTTCATGGGGGAAAAAGTCGCTCCAAGATATAATAAAATCGCACTTAAGAATGCAGCAGGCCTTTTAAAAACATATTTAACAAAAAACTACCTTTTTCTGATATCATAATAACACTCCCAATAAATCACAAATATGAATTTCTTGTAGTTAGTGCTGTTTTTACACTTAGAACAGGAGCTTAAATGAAAAGTTTTAAAATAAAAACAGCTACAATTTCCCTGAGAAGCATATACCGACTAAAAATCACTCTATTTCTAGAAAGCTCATTCCTGTCTATCGATATAAATTAAAGATCTGGAAAGGCCTGAGAGACGAGACTTAGATGAAATGATCAAGGTCACTCTGTCCAAGGTCACAGAGCCACCTGGTCCCTGAGCCAGGGCAGCAGCCTTTCCCGCTGTGTCACAGGGGCAGTAGGCAGCTCTGTCATGGCTCACACTATTCCCTAATCATTTTGGAAGCTGCTGCCTTGTTAGAAATGAACAAGTGGATCTAAGATCGTGAGATAAGCAAAACCCCGAAGCACACCGAGGAATGCTTCCAAATGCAGTGGTAAATGACAAAATAACAGAGCCCATTAGCTGGCCACACAGAACAGCAGGAGAAATGAGGGACAGAACAACTAGTGAGAAGCCTATCAAGGACATCAGGATCTTTGGGATGACACCAGATCTCAGAGGAGGCCTTGTACTCCTGCACATTGGATTTCATTGGTGGCAAGGGCCAGATTCATAATAAAGAGGAGTCCAGGACCCCAGCCAACTACAGCTTCCTCACTTCTGTAGGGGGATTTCCATTTGATCCATTCATTCACTCACCAGATATTAGCTGGACACCTGCTGTGTGCTCCAGACACATGGTGTTAAGCAAACACAACATGGTTGTTGTTCCCAACTGCCTAGCCTTCATCCTGATGGAGGAGTGAAGTTCAGAGATAGGAGAGGGACACCAAGAGACTTTCTGAAAAGTCTAGCTAAATTCTTGGGTTCCTGCAACAGCGAGCAAGCTCTCTTTATCCATTCATTCACCTACATAGTCACTCAGCAAGCATTAATGAGAACCTCCTGTGTGACAACTCTCAGTCCCTCCCATGAAGAAGGTAACAAGCTCCTTCCAATGAAAGATGATTGTGTGGGGAGAAAATATGAAGCTAAAGAAACCCAGAGGATGCGGAGGTACTGGATGAACCTTTCCTGCCTCCTGAAAATAAGACCCACGCAGTGAGCTAGGAACCCAGGTGCCTCAAGTTCAGTCCATTTACCTGCCATGCTGTACCAGCCTCACAGATACGCAGCTGCAGAGTTACACCCTGGCTAAACAAGATCAGAATTCCCACAACCTCTCTCTCCTAATTCTTCCTCCTCTGAGCCCCAAACCCTTGCTGTAGCCTTCTGAGTTCACAGTCCATCTTTTCTTTGTCCCATGGCCCCACCTGGACTCCTGGCATCTTTTTTGGATTATGCTGGGCATGAAGATGTAACAAAAACAGCAGAGGCTGTCAGGGGCAGATGAGCAATGAAATGGGCTGGAGAGGGATGGTGCAGATGGAGGGGCCACTGCCCACTCCACCAGAGTAGGAACATGGGCCTATGTTGCCAGGTTTCCCATTTCTCAGAAAAGCCAAAAAATAACAGTAGCAATAGTACCATTTTCATTCTGTCTAAGAATAGAGCCTCTCCCCTTGAATGTACCCCTGGAAATGACAGTAACAGCTTACTATGAGCTCAGCATGTCTGGGTACGATCTAAACTCTTTACAAGAATCAATTCGCTTAGTCTTCACAGCAATCCTAACAGGAAAGCACTATAATTATCCCAGTTTCATAGATAAGCTAATTGGTGTCAGGGTCACAACAGCTGGGACAGAGGTAGGCTTGGGTTTCACTCGTGACCTCTTCATTTGGGTGGCCAACTGGTTTATCCAAAAGCTATGCCCTCTCATGCTGCCCTGAGTGACAGACTTGAACAGGATGGGGGAAATGGAGTCACTGGTAAGCAAGGGAACCCAGCCCATCCTCCCCAAGGCCACATCCATTTCTGCAAAAGGAGTCGACCTTACTGGTAAGGAGAACACCTCTCTGGGGAACATGGCCAGCCTTCTCTGGGGCAGAATAGCAAATAATCTGCCACCCACTTTCAGCATGTACACAGCTTCCAGCCCTGCTCTGGGAAGGCGCCATTCTGAGGGCCAGGAGTTTGATTATGAGTCACTCTGGCTGCTATGGCCCCTCCCAGGGCCTGGGGATCACACCCAGGCTTGTGTCCCAGAACTCCAGCTCAAGCAAAAATTCCACCCTAGTCTCCAAGAGCCACATGGAGACAAGAGAATAAATACTTCATTTTTTCAGGGAGCCAGCCAGGCTTTCTCAGATCCCACACCAGTCCCTCCACCCAGACTCCAGCCCAGGAGGCAAGCTGATGTGCTCTCCTCATCTCCCTCCCCACTGTCACCCTTCCTTTTGCTCTTCTGTGTGGCCAGAACCCCAGACATGAGGCCAGGAACCTGCCAGGGACTGATGCTGCGTCTCTTAGCAACAGGCACGTCCTAGAAGGAGGAAGGAGGAGGGCAGGGGAGCTCCAGCTGGTTAACACCAAAGATAATGCCAACCTCTGCATTCTGCAGCTCTGTCCTCTTAGGGAACTGCAGTTGCACAGTGACGTGGTCAAAGGGTAGGACCTCAGAGGAAAAAGAGAAGGAAAAGATAGCCTCAGGAAAAGGAACTAACATTCACGGGATGCTCGCCATATGCCAATAACTTTACATATGTGTCTCCATTCACCCTCACATCCATCCTACAAGGCAAAGGTTAATAATCTTTCTTATTACCAGAGAAACTGAGGCTCAGAAAAAATAAACTACTCAAGGTCGCCACTAGCTAAAGTGGCAAACACTGTAATTCAAATCCAAAACTGTTTAGTTCCATTGCCTGAGTCCTAGAGCCTTATGCTGTGCAATCTCCAGATAACTGACAACTGGGAAAATTATTTAGCCAGTTTTCACTCAAGTGCATTGCTTAGCCATGGAAGGGGAATTATTCTAGTGGTTGGACGTGTACACCTCGGAACATACTGATGAAGATTCCTGCCCAGTGAGGAATGTGGCAAGGTCTAAACAGTAACTATACAGTGTGTTAAAAGATACCAAACCCTAGCTGTGGTGTATAAGGCAAGATGGGAGTGCCAGATGGAGGTAGACTGTCACTTAAAATAGGATGGGTCAGGGTGAGCTCTCTGAGAAAAAAGCATGTGAGTAAAGGCTTAACGTAGGCGCGAGGTGTCCCTGAACCTCGATTGCTTATCTGTTAAATAGGGATGAAGCCTCACAGAGTTATTTATTAAATTTGACAGAATTAACTAGAACTGATACCTTACAGTCATTGTATGAAACAAAACAGTGCTTGTTACGGAGTAAGCCCTCCCCAAAACTAGAAATATTATTACTATGAAGTAGCAAAGCCCAGGGTGGAGCATATTCCATGCCAGAGCTGCTCAGCCCAGCATCTCTCTCTCTCTCTCTCTCTCTCTCACACACACACACACACACACACACACACACACACAACCCAGATGCCTCCAAGCATTTCAGAAGTGCAAGCACATGAATAATTTCAACAATAAGGGTGTCAGTGCTGATTCTTCCCATTTTGCTGACATAAAAACTGAGCCAAGGGTTGGTCCACCAAGTAAGCAGAGGAGCTGTGCGTAAGCCTTGGAACATAACTGGGACTAAACTGGGAATGAAGGGATACAGTGTCAGAGGCAGCTGAGCAGGTGAAAAGAGGAAAGCAGGGTCAGGAGCCCAGGGATAAAATGGAGGCACAAGGAGAATCTGTGTCCTCTCTCCAGGAAGTCCCTGAGAGAAGGGAAGCAGGCTGGCGTCACATTAATCCCCACGAGGTCTCTCATCTGCATAAACAGCCCAGAGCAGACCAAAGACTTAACGCCTGAGTCACTGCTGCACCCCAGTCCATAGGCTGACTTTCCTCCCTCCGTGGAGCTCTAGAGAGGGAGAAACACACAGCCAGTTCCTCAGCTGCTCACAGGGACTGTGGTAGAGACGCACACTTAGACCAGATGTACAGCCTGTCTGCAGTTTCAGGTCCCAGACACAAGGCAAGAGGGACGTGGCAGTACGAAGCTGTCTCCAGGGCACTGTCAATGCCTAAGCCCACTGGTAACGAGTCCTCTTTCCACATTTTTTTCTTAGACACCTGAGGAAAAACTCCTGTGGCCCTCCTTCATTCCTTCTTTCCACCTATCCTGAAAATTTTGTCTTTATTGGAAACTCTAAAAATGACTCAGATTTGAACCCCGTACCTGCACTTTGAAGTGGCCTTCAACCACAAAATAAAGCCAATAACAACATCCTTGAGGGACAGTGGTGAGGCTCCCATGAAATAAAGCATGTAAGGCACTCTTTCTTCCCAGGGACTGGTCTGATAAAATGCAGAGATTATTATAAACTCTTCTCGGCCTTTTGACCTCCTGGTTTCACCTCCAGCAAGCCTGATTTTACAACAATCTATAAGTCATTAACTGGGGTGATATTAGACCTAGAAGAATCCTTCCCAACAAGACACATCCATCACTCAGAGTTCGTTCGGGGACTGGGTGAACACAGCATCTTCCCTTTGAAGAGTCCAGCTCTGTGGTTAGAGCTGTACCAGAAGCACAGGGCCAATCTGTACCCATCCATCCATCTGCCTCTCCAGGGTCTCCAGGGTCCATCTCAAGCCAAGCAGCCTCAGACCCGTCAGGCATCTCTCCACAGCCATCTTCGCTATATCCATCCACTTACCCATCCATCCATTCATCTATCCACCCTTGGTACTTCACCCTCTGGAGCCCCAGGCCCAGACTTCTAGACAAAGCACGAAGTCCCAGAAGGATTTACTGTCCCCTACTTAGGGAACCAGGCAGAGACTATCAGATATTTGCTTCCTTTTCTCCTCGCCCAAGAAATCAGAGCAGAGTCACAGGGACACCACCAGAGATGATACCGAGTCTGATGCCCAGCACGGGGGAAAGCCTGTGGTCACTACTTTTACCCTTTGAGTTATGCAGTGACCACTTCAGTTAAATTGCATCACTCAGTGACCGTGGCCATCTGCCTCAGTCTGCATTACCACTTCTCAGCAGCACTCTGCTCCTGGCTTGTGGATTACAGGCTGTCCCCCCACTTCCTACCCATGTGTGATGGGCTGCACCGGCCGCTCACCTGCCAACGGTGAAGCCTTATGGTAGGCACTCAGGTGGGGAGGAGGAGCTAGAAATGTGTAAGACAAGACCTTTACTCAAAGAGCTTACCAATTAGGGGCGAAAGAGGAAAGAGCCCTCTGCATATCCGCGGCCTTGTGAGCAGTGTGTATCGTTTCCTCTTCCAGGGCCTTTCTCAACTCTGCTGTCAGGTGGTAGCTGGTCCCCAATCACTTTTCCATTACAGAAATCGATAATGTGAATTACTCCAAAATAACGAGCACCTCTATGCCTTTGCAAAACTAATTTTTCTGTGTGTGCATTTGCACAAGTTTCACCCTGGGTCTGGAATCTGTCTTTATGAATCAATGAATGCCATCTTGCATCTGACTGTGACATACTGTTGCAGAATGAAGCAGGGTTTGGAATCAGAGACTTAGGTTCAGGTCTTTGTTCTGACCCTTATCAGCTGTGGGCCCTTGCCAAACTACCCGACAATCTGGAACATCAGTTTCTTCATCTAGAAAATCAGATTTCAAATATAGCCACCCACCAGAGTGTTAGAGAACTAAATGGAATAATAATGTACATCGATGTTACTGGTGTAGATTAGGGAATCAGTGAACCCTTGGATAATTCTGCTCTGTACAAGAATCTGAAACCTGCCATGAATCTGTATCGTGAGGCCACTGTATAATAAGGTCCTAGTATCGCTTCCACATAACAATAATATCTTACAGTGGAAAAACAGATTATCATTTACAAACAGGCAACCCCATAATGCTCTCATTTTACAAATGACAAAGCAGAGATTCAGGAAAGTTAAGGAAGTTATGGAGTCCCTGGCTGGAGCAGCCCTCTGATTCCCTTCCCTTGGATTTCTGCCTCCTCCTCCTCCTCCTCCCCTCCTCCCTGACCCAAAACACAATCCCCAGCACAGCGCCGGGAGGCTGCGTGTGAACTCTGCTGAGGGACAGGCCTTTGGAACAACCTCTTGGAGGAAGAGCTGAGCTCGAACCAGTCGGCTCTTGGTGCTGCCAGAATAAATCCTCCCAGAAGTCACCTGAGAAGGGCCATGTGGTGACTCCTAAGGCTGGACTCTGCAAGCAAAGAGAGAAGCTGATATGGTGAACCACCTGTTTCATGCCCAGCACATTCACAGCTGGTTTCTCACTGAATCCGCAAAATCAGTTGTTCATAACCCCTTATGGGGCAAGAATCACAGACCCCTTTGAAAATCTGCTCAAAGATTTGGATTCTCTCCCCTCAGGTGAAGGCACTGATGGTGTACACAAGTGCAGGGAGATCGAGATTAAGACTGGTCTGAACTTGGTCTATTTTAAGATTTTCTTAGGCACCGAGAGCCTTCTTTTCTGGAGGCTCACCCCTATCATATCAAACACTTTTGTTTGTATCCATACCTGACAGTAAAAACATATATATTTATATATGCACATATATACACACCCCAAATTGAATTCAGTTGACTGGATTGATATGTGTTACATTTGTAGACCTTTAATAAAAATACATTTCAATTTTGTGTTCTCTTTTCCTTTTTTGGAGCCAGTAAGCCTTTTTGGTGAATTTTATTGATACATATATCACAGGTACAGAGTAGTGTGCAGATCACATGTACAGAGCAAAGAATACAGGGCAATGAACTCTCAAGGAGTGAGCACCCCTGCTCCCAGGACTCTGGCCAAGAAGCAGAAAATCAGGAGCTCCCAGGAGTCCCAGACCCCTTTCATTCACTGCACCCTGCCCAGGGGAATCGCGACCCTTGTTCTCACAATGTAGATCGGTTTTGTCTCTCTCTGAGTTTATGTGGAATCATAGTTTTTCCTTGTTTTGCGTCTGGCTGTTTTTGTGGAACCAGGCAGTTTTTTATTCAGGTCTCAGTTGTCTTCAGAGGCCTATAAAAGACCCCTGGGCTCTTGGCATAGTCAGAACCAGGGATTCTTCACCTTGCCTTCACATTACAATCACCGGAGGAGCTTTTTAAAATCCTGATGCCCAGACTACTTGGGGGGGGGGGGGTCCCAGGACAATTAAATCAGAATCTCAAGGGATAGGACCAGGCACTGGCAGTTCTCCATGACTGCGGGAAAAGTTGAAAACCTCCAGAGTCTCCACCATGTACTGATGTCATGTCATGAAGCTGGGGCTGAAATTTAGATCTGACTTAGCGTGGTGTTTGTTTTATCTCCTGTACTGATAGTGAGGCCAAAGCCAGGTCAAGGCACCCTCTTCGGGAACCAAAGATGTGGTGTGGAGGACAGCGGTGTTCAGAGGCAGCCCAGCACTGGCCATGAGAAGAAAGTCACCACCCCTCAACTCCAAGCTCCTCCACACCTCTAGAAGCCATAAAGATTCCTTACAAATGGCGACAGCAGGGGCTGGCTTAGGGAGTAAAGGGGGAGATTCCCAGGTGGCTCCCTCTGACACTGCTCATGACTCCCGGGTGCAGTTCATGATTCTGCCACCCAGTGGCACTCACACTTCTATAAGCCCTGCGATCGGGCACACACATCACAGGCTTTTGGCCAAAAGCAGGAAGCCCGGAGAAAGTGCAGAGAGCTGTGTGGGCGCGCCAGAAGGGCTACACCCCTTGGAGGGGGCAAGGTGAAGTCTTGGGGGCAGCCTGGCTGGGGCAGGAGCACAATTCTCTTGCTCCCCAAGTCCTTATGGCTGGCAAGGGAAATACAGGGGCATGGCGGCAACCAAAACCAGGCTGGAAACGACAACCCTGAAAAGGAAGCCGACAGAGCCACCACACCTCACCTGGCCTGAGAGAAAGGTCTTTCCACTGTCCTTTGCTGGGCTGCCCCTGTGGGGCCCACACACCTGTGATGCCTCAGGCATGGAGGCACTGGCCCTGTCTCAGAGCCCAGATACAGCTCTTCAAATCCTTCCCCGAGAGGCTGCTAGATCCTAGCCCTCAAGTGGTTGCAGGGTATCTGAAGATGAATATCTGCATCTTCTTGTGACTTGGAGTCAAACTGACTCAATTTAAAGCCAAGCTCTGCCACTTCCTAATTGTGACTTTGGGCAATTTAACATTGCTGTGCCTTGATCTCTTCATTTGTAAAATGGGAATAATAATAATCACACCCTAAAAAGCTGCTAGGAGGATGGAACAGTGAATTATGTAGCCTTAGCCTAGTGCCTGGTGCATAGTAAGTGCTAAATCAGTGTTAGCTGTTTATCACCATTATTTTTGCTATCATTTCAAAGTGGGTGGACTGAATGCCTCTCAGCACTCCTCGGATTTTACCAGCTTAGAAATCTTTAGTCCTTTGCACAGCCTCCTCCCTTGAACAGCTTGGCTGGGGTTCAAGTCTGGCCTTAGGAAAAATAACCTTCCTGCTATAAAATGACCTTCTGTGCACACTGGAGCACAGCCCTCTCCCCTGCGCACTCACCACCCAGGTCTGAACAGAGGTAGAGGACCAGGCTGTCCAAAGCTCAGGTAAACGCCTAACTGTCCCACTGTGGCAGTGAGCAGAGGCTTGAGAGCATTCAGAGTCACATTCAGCACCACCCAGAGGGGATCCCATTCCCTATCCCCACAGACCCAGCTGTTGCCAAGCTGGTCAGAGCTGGCCTTGAACAGACTCTTGGTCCACAGACTTGTTATGGTCACACTACACCCGCCCTGGCAGACCCTGACTCCAGCCTCTCCGCAACTTCAGGTCATGTCCTAGCTGGGTTTCATTCCCATGGTGTCACAGTGTGCACTACATAGGGAAATCCTAGTTCTAAACTCACAGAACAAACAGTTCTGTGGCTAGGGGTAAATTATTCGACTTCTCTGAGCCTCATGACACCTTTATGAGAAGATTCAGGACAACTTTAAGTCCCCTCCCACCTGTAGCATATGGCTCACAGTAGGTGCTCAATAAATGTTTCATTTTATAAAATCCAAGACATAATTGTGCTGGTTCCAACATGCACCTACTTTCTAGTCTTTACTACTGATCCAATCCCTTACGAGTCCCAACCTAGGATAAGAGCTCAGGAAATGGGAATAATCTAATTCATTAATCAGATACTTTTAGACTAGCTTTCACTTGAACCTGCTTCCCTGACCCAAGGTTGTAAGTACCCCCTCACCAAAATATTCAGATTAGAGGACCTGAACTGTCTACCTTCCCCACTAAACTATCAACTTTAAGAAGCCAGCAGCCCCCAGCCCCATGTTGGATCTGTGTCTTCCACAAGTGTGCACCTGGCCAGCTGGCTTGGGCTCCCGTGCATCTCCTCAAGTAGAGGGCAGAGAAAGCAGCATGGATCCTAGAGTTGGCCAAGTCCTTTTATTGGAAAAAGAAATTTTTTTAAAAAATCTCGCAAAGGAGATGCACAAGTCAGACACAAGGCCCAGTGACTCAGGGGGTCAAGTGGGCATAGGTGACAGCTGGGAGTCAGGGGCCCAAATTGGAGTCCATGGGGCTGCAGCTCTCTGGGGGATCCTTGCACCAGAACTCTCTGGAGTGCATGTTCCCTGAGACCTCAGGGTTGGGGCCACTCTTCTCCAGCTCTCTGGGTGGAATCCTGCTCTCACTTGGGAAAACCAGGCTCCTCTTTGGTTCCAGAAAGCTCCCTGAAGGGACTGGTTCTTCATAGCCACTTCTAGCACCTCCTGCCAGCTGAGGTAGACAGCTCCTTTCCGCCCATCTTCAGGGAACTGGGCCCAGGCTGCTGCCTTCCCACTGACTCCTCTGCCCTCAGGAGCCAGAGTACTCCTGACTGGCCACCACCTTCCTTGCAAAGAGAGTCTGCCTTCCCTCTTGCAGGTTGCTGGCTCTTTTGAATGTCTGAGGAATCCTCACTTCACAGCCTGAGAGCACTGGGACCTGGACAGGCTGAATATGCAGTGTTTATAGCCACTGTCCCATTGTGGGGCTGGGAGAGGGGCACCAAAAGCCACCAAAAGGTTGGCTCTACTCTCCTAGTACCCCGTCCTGTCTTCTGCTAAAATGTGCACAGGGGAATCAGAAGGTGGGAGAGAAACCAGAAGGAAGAGCCAAGTTGGCAGCCCAGGCAAAGAACCGGGGATTTTAGGACATTAACTCACAGGGTCAGGCTGGACCCACACAGACACGAAGCTGTAGGCCATCATGGAATGAGACAAAGCAGGACTCAGAGAGAAGCCATCAGCACGGCACCCAAGGAAACACACAAGTCATTCTCACACAGACACATGCACTCACGTGCTCAGATATTCATACTTACGCATTCATGTATACTTGCACTTATGCAAGCACTTATGTAGTGCTCTTACACACATCTTCATGAAAACATTCACACTCATGCTCATATATATGTGCACTCAGATAAACATGCATTCAGGCACATTTGGGGACATACACTATACTCATGTATGCGTATAATCATGAATGCACACACACGTATCCCATTTACACATTTGTGCAGCATGCACACAAGTACACGCACACATGCATCATCATACACTCAGAAGCACACATACACACACAGAAGTTCTGATATCCAAAAATTGGCTCTGATACAGAAAGTTCAAACTCCCCACAGCTCTCTCTTGCAAAGACTTGCTCCACACCCACACAACCTCCAATTGTGTTTCTTACAACCAGTGCCCAGTGGCCTACAAGGTCTCAGAGTTGGCTGCTTCTTGGCAAGGCTGAGGTGGCCTCCAGCTCCAGTTGGAAGACAGGAAAAACACAGATCTAGGAGGGGTCAGGAGCAGCTGAACTGCTCCCCACTATAGCATTCATCTCCCCAGACCTCTGATTCCACAGAGGCAGGATCATGGACAGGCAGGGTCTCACGGTGACCAGAAGGAAGTAACACTGGGAGACAGTCAGAGACAGTAAGGAAGTCCTGGGAGACATGGGCTTTGGGGTGAGGAATCATGCAGGGTGGGAAATCTCTGGGCCCTCTTCAGGGTGTTGGGGAAGGAAAGCAGAAGAAAGAAGCTGTCCTAACTGTGTGCTCCCCACCCAGCCTGCCCTAGGTAGGTCTGGCTCAAGTGACACTAACCAGCCCCACAGGGAAAGGCAGGCCCCAGTCTGAAGTAGGGCTCCTGCCAGGGTGGATGGTAAAGGGTGTGGGGATGTTACCCTGCTTCCCACCTCGGGGCAGCAGGGCAGGACCCAGAGAATGACTCAGAAGCGGGTGCTTTGGTAGCGCAGCCGCCGCAGGTCTGCAAGGCCCTCATTGCGGCCATACACCTCCCTGCAGGGACTCTCGGCCAGTCACCGGGCCCCTGCCCCACCACCCCCAGCACTGCTGCTGCCGCTGCCACTGCTGCTGCCACTGCTGGAACTTCCACTGCTGCACCGGTCTTCATAGATGGAGATCTCAATCTGGGTTACTGATTAAGGAAAGCTGCAGTGAGGGGTGACGCAGGGAGCCAGACGTGGGCTCCTGGCTGGTGGAACTGGAGAGTCCTGAATCTCCCAAGCCCATCTCAGTTCACTCATGTACCCAGCAGTTACCCAGACTTACAGGGCTCAAATCTGACCTGGACACACAGCCAGGATCACAGCAGACCACATCCTGCTCTCAGGGAACGTTATCCTGTCCGAGGCCCTGGAGGTGGTGTGGCACACATCAGGAAGCTTGAGGACTTCAGTGTGCTGAATTCAAATCCTAGCCTGCCACCCACAAGCTAGGTTAGTCATGGGAGGTCACGTGACTTTTAACTCTCAATATGACTTCTGTGCCGTGGGTAAATAGAATCTTGGGATGGCTGTGACAATGACATGAAATAAAGTAACACACCAACCACGATTCTCTTAGTATTTTTCTTCACTTCAGTTTTGTAGTAAACATATCTCAACTCCCCTCGAGGAACACAGTCATTATGTACTGCCGACTGTACTAATAAAAGAATACAAATCGAAATAAAGGGATGAGTTTATCTTTACCCATTCTACTCTCATTGCTGCTCCTGGGGTGAGTGTGGTGTGTGCATACCTGAACCCCACTTCTCAGGTGGAATCAGCAGAACCTACCCACCCTCTTCCCAGCCTCCTATCAGGACTGCAAGCCTGGAGAACCTCCTGATCTTTGACTTCATTTCTCTCACCTGTGAGCAGGGGACAATGCGATCCACCGCAGGAGATGCCAGGAGGATCAAAGGTGACCAGAGGATTTATATATGTTGGAGTGTTGGAGCTTAGAGTGAGCTGGGCTCAAATCCTGCCTCTGACCCTGACCTACTGTAGGACTGTGAGCCGGGTGTTAACTTCAGTGTCCTTGGGTGCAAAGGAGCGTAAGCTCTGCCCATCTCTTAGGGTTGTGATGAGAGATGCACGAGCTCACATTTTCAAAGCCCTGGAAATGACATCTGCTTACAGGCTGCCCAATGGTGCAAACCTGCCCCTCACAATTAGCCCAGTCACTACTGTAGAGGGAAAACGATGATCAGCCAAGTCATAACCTAGGAAAACACCACGCAGAGGTCTTTAGGATGGTCCCCAATTCCTGGCAGCCTCATCAGGGTGCAAAGGACCTGTCTGCTCTGCCTCTTCACACAGAACAGTCAAGAAGGATACAACCCTCATCCCGCGCTCCACAGGGTCTGTGAGCAGGAGGCCCCGAGGCGCAAAGATCTTCTCGTTCTGCTCCTGGATGTAGCGGGAGATCTTCTTCAGGACCTGTGAAAACAGGCCCATGGGGTGAGCATGTAGCAGGAAGCCTGGGGAGGGGACACAGGAGTCAGGGTGGTGCCACCTTCTCGTAGTGGGTCTCCATGCAGAGGAAGATGAAGTAGGCGGTAGCACAAGCCAGGCAGCCTTCAAGATAGGAGCTGCCCCCGATCTTCTCAGCCTCGGCATAAAAGCCATTGAGGGTCTTCACAGTCTCTTCGAAGAGCTGCCGCTCAATCTGCAAGGGAGAGGGACAGGGCAAGCCAAGGTTAGCCTCCCCAAAACATAGACAGGTCGAAGGGGTCTGCATCCCATGCGTGCACGGTTGCCTGAGAAGCTGTCCTGCCTGCAACCATGATCATAACAGCCGCTACTGATAAGCATGTCCTGTGTGCCAGGCATTCTTTTATGCAGTCTCACTGAACCCTCATGACAGTTCTATCAGAAAGGATTACTGCCACCCCACTTTACATGTGAGGCTGGCTCTGTTTTGCTGAGACCACATGGACCCTCTGCTCTGTGGTCCTGGCCACCATCATCTCCTGCCTTGTCACTTGCCTCGCCTGTCCTCACTCCCTTGCCTTGTCACTTGCCTCGCCTGTCCTCACTCACTTGCCTCGCCTGACCTAATTTCCCCTTAAAGCCAGGTCGTGTCAAGATCTGATGAAGAGCTCCCAGTCTTCTCTACAAGTAAAACCCAGGGAGGCTTTACCATGCCCAACAGGCCCCCGTGGCTGACCCTTCAGCCCCTCTGAGCCTGTCTCCTGCTCTCCTCTCCATTCATCCCCATCTCAGGTCCTCTGTGCCCATGTGCTCACCTGCAGTACTCTTCCCCACACAACCTCAGACACATCCTTTATTGCCCTCGGGTCTTGCTTTATCCAAGAGGTCTCCCCTGCCTGAGCACATCGCCCAGCCTGCCCCAGTCCCTTGACACACCCCCTTCTAATATTTGTTATCACCTGAGCTACTACCTGTTTATTTACTTGGCTTTTTATTTTGTTTTCTATGCTATCTAACAGAAAATTAAAGTCCATAAGTTCACTCCTCTGTCCCCAGTGCCTTATTATATATTAAGTGATCTTGTGAATGGTTATACAACTCTGACTCCAGAATCTGTGCTTTTTACCATAACCAGACACCTGCAAGGTCATACTCCAAACTCACACCTGATAAACTGCCACCTCATTTTTCAGATTCTTCGGAATACCTCCTGTCCCTTCACACTCACAGGGGTAGAACTTCCCTTTGCACAATTTAGGTACCTCTGTGCCCATCTAGGATGAAATTTCTCCCAAGAATAGTGAGAACTGTTGGGTCTCAGCCTCTGCCTCCATCTCTGACACATACACTCAACATGGAAGGAAAAATTCTGCTTATCTGTTCATGACCCAAGCCCTGCCACTTGATTAAGAGTCATCTTTCTTGAAGGCACAGACATGGTGTAAGGCTCTCTAAGAGCCACTGGTGGTCAGACCAGCAGAAATGGGCCCTGTTCCAACTTTCCCAGCCCATCTGGATCTGCCTGAGCTGCCGAGGGGAAGGATAATAACTGCCCTCTGTCCTCCTCCAATCCTCGGTCAGCTATAAGACAGCCTGGGACAGAGACTGCATTCAAATCTAGAATCTGGAGCAAAGCTCAACAGCTAATGACTCTCAAAGGGCCCATGAGGCCAGCACTTGAGTGCCTGAGTCTAGAGGACAGGCCATGGACAGAGCCCTTGGCTGACTAGCTTTAATGTCACTCAGTAGGAGCAGAGGATCCCTGGGCTCCCCCATCATGTAAGTCAGAAGGAAGGAGAGAAAAGTGGCCACCAGGTCTTCTTCTGGGCTTCTAAGTTTTTCCTGCCATGACTGTGACAACAAAGATCTAGTTTTTCTATGCAGCACTCGCTAAGGGTGTAATGGCGCCAGGAAGGATATCAGCATCCTGTAGAAAAGCAGAGAGGTGAGATTCTGGGTCCTTCTGGTGCTTTCTGACTTTTGAAAATCACTTTCTCTTTCTGGCTATCAATTTCTTGAGAGGATAGATTCACGCAATGCTTCTCAAGCTTTAATGTATAACTTAGGGATCTGGTTAAAATGCAGATTCAGACGCAGGAGTTCTAAGGTGGACCTTGAGACCTTCCATTGCTACAAAACTCCCAAGGGATGCTGGGCCTGTCAGCATGGACCACAGTTTTAGAAATGAGGGCTAAGTCCTGCTCAGCTCTGGCTGTATACTAAAGTCATCTGAGCAGTTTTTAAGGCTACAATGGCCAAGTCTCCCCTTCAAGAGATTATGATTCTTATTCAGTCTGGGAAAGAAAGGTAGCAGGGCATTGAAGGCCACTGCTACCTTACCCTATCCCACAGGACACCCGCAAGGCACATTTTTCCCAAAGATCCCAGGGCCCTAATGAGTGAGAAGCAGCTTAGTACTAGAACAACAACTGCTGGATTGTGAGCTACAAATCAGTTCCCTCTCACCTGGAAATCCTTCATTAAAAATTTAAATTTAAAAATTATTATTAAAATAAACTGTCAGTTTATTATTTGAAAATTAAGATTTAGAACAATGCTGATGCCTGGGCCCCACTCCTAGCAATACTGATTAGTTGTTTTGGGGTGTAGCCTGGGCGCTCCCTAGGAAATTCTAATGTGCAGCCCAAGAGCTGCTGCAGATCAATGGAGATTCCTGAACCACAGCCCAAACTGAGTCAGCGTCTCTTCATGATACGTAATCTGACCCACTAGGACTTGGGGATTTACATTTGTTTAACAAGTTCTCTGGTTGATTTTCATGCAACTGAAATTCAAGAGCTGGTGGGCAGGAAACTCTCTAAGGTTTCTGCAGAGAACTGTCTATGAAGAGACAACAAAATAATGCTAAGGACTTTGTATTCTCCTGTTTGAAATAGTGGAACAAGTTATGGTCTATGACACTATGTGTCACATGATCCTGGAAAAATATGCATTCCAATAAGAACCTGAGTTTCATCAAAGCCGTGGGTTACAAGTTCATAAGAAGGCATTCTCACCCGGCTGTCCAGCTCTGGGGGGAATTTGGTCTGGAACTGGCAGATAGTCCCATCGCTGTAGTCTCTCTGGATAAAGACCTTGGTGGCCAGCGAGGCACTTCGCCGGAGCTCCTGCAGATTGTGGACCTGAGAAGATGTACAGGAAGTGAATGCTAAGAGTGATCATCCGACTCAGTTTACCCAATGCTGACAAGCTTCCTAGAATGTGGGCAAACAAATACGCCAGCCATGTGCCAGTGCTCAGGAGGCCCATAGGAAAGCAGGACTATGGGATTTACCCAGAAAGCTACTTGCTATTGTTCAGGAAGATCGAAGAAAGCCTAAAACAGGCCCAAAAGTGAGCCAAGTGAGAGGTCTGGAACCAACCACAGCACCAGAAACAAATTTTCAAAGAGGAACAAGACACCTGGTGGCCAGCCCCATGTTTGGGGAAGACAGAGCTACAGCTTGTGAGAGGACCAAATGATAGGGTTGGAATCAAGGAACTTGTGGGACAAAAAAGACCCTCTGTGCCCCTGCATTCAGAGGGAGTCCCAAGTTCAGGCCAACACTGTGGGTAAAATGGGGCTCAGGCCAGAGGTTGAAGCACTAGCTTTCCCTGCTAGAAAGGAGTAGGTTTATTTCTGTCCAATGTCTACACGTCTGACATTGACACAAGCTCTAGCATTTGAGAGGAGTGGGTCTAGCATTTGAGGGGAGTAACCCAGTTCTGTAGAACAAGACTTCTTCTTCTGCCTTCCAGTCCCCCACGTTGGAAACAAGCAGCCAGCAGGTGAAAAATGGCCAACACTAGGACTATGTGGAGACCAAGCCCTGCAGGCAGAGTGAGCAAACATCCAGCTCATACCAGGTAATCAAGCCGAGTCTGTTCAGTCACTTAGTTCTCATTTATTGAGTCCCTTCTAGTGCCAGGCTCTGGGAGTGCTGAGCAAAAGACAGTCTGAGAGCTCCAGGGAGGAACACAAGTAAATATATAATGAATTAGACTGTGATGAATGGCACAAAGCAGTAAAATGAGCTCAGAAAGGCTCACTCCAAAAAAGGCTTTCTACAGCCTGCACTGAGTCAGAAAGCAAGGCTGGTGTTACCAGAGGAGGGGACAGGCATGGAGTCAGAAGAGGGAGGAGAAGGCAACCAGGCCAACAGAGCAACACCTGCAGGGTGATGAGGAAAGCAGAGCTGATCTCCTCCAGGGGCTACAGGCAGAAGTCAGGAGGACCAGACTTCCTTTCCGAATGGATAACAACAGGGGGAGAGTAGCAGAGAGGGAGGCCAGGTTAGACCACAAGGCTGGACAGGTTTCTATTGATGGAGGACTTAAAATAGGAGCTGCTTAACAGCCGGGAAAAAGAATAAAGGGAAAAAGATTGTCAATAAGGTAAAAAAGAGCACATAATTGGGGCCTCAAGTTCCTGAAAAGCTGGGAGTCAGAGAACACTATAGAAGACTTTTCCAAATCCAGTTGAACTCTGTGAAAGAGAGATGATCCCAAATACTGACACTGAATTAAATAATAAATACTCTTCTAGTCTTAATAGTCCTTGATTTCTCTAAGTAAGGTCTTTGTTGATAAAATTCCCTTGATGTTTCCTTGATCCTTTAATTTTGAAAATACAAATGCTTTGGTAATGTAAATAAGTTAAGCACTAGGGTATCTGCTCCCTCTGGCTATGGTCTCAATATAATATATTGTTTCAAAGAAAAGGGAAGTGCTACAGTCCTCCTCTGCCTTCTAAAACCAACTAACAGGAGTCAATCACCGACGTCCCTAGCCCTAGAAGACTTGCTCTGGCAGTTTTGTGGGAAGTGGGCAAGCCCAGGGTACAGGCCATCTGGAGGGAGGGATGGTTCCCTGGATAGTAAGCAGTTCAGAGAAATCTAAATTATGCCTAAACAGAGAAAAGTGATGGTAAGAATGGAAAGAAAGGGGGAAATAGTACTTCTACCACTGACATGAATTCAGCTTCCTTCTGAGTCCCCTCCTTTGTCCAAACCTGAATGCCACCTGCATCCACACCTGTATGCATACGTCACATGTGCGTGTGCTACCATGAGAGTCTGTCTCTATCAACTGTTGACTGGTCATTTCTTTTTAAACATACAGCTAAATTAATTCCCAAGCTCTCACATAGTTAAGAGTGGCCAAATGACTGAGTAGAAGGGACCAATGTCAGGGTAGGTTAACTCACAGAGACCTAACACTCCTCTTGCTCTTCTCTCTTCCACAGAAAGCAGTGGAGCCATGTGTTAAAGATGATTGGAAAAATCTGGGTCCTGCAGGACATCTGTCTCATCCAACATTTCACTGAACAGGAAATAATCTCTTGGTTTTGAAACATATGTTCTCAACTGGCTAGAATAGGAGAGTTCAACACCCATTTCCATCCAACAATATCCTGAGCCTTGGGGTACTATCCAGGATCTGGGTGACTAGAGTTTGGAAAGCATATGTGAAGCCCAAAGGAGTTTCTAGAAGATGAGATCAGACACATTGTATATGATCGGGCCTCAGTGTCCAAGATCCACATAGGACACATGTACAGTGGGTGAAGAATAGAATTTAAGACAAGGCAGACTCTCCTGGCTCTCTCCATCCATGGTGGTTCATTGAAACACCAAAAGGCCCCGACTAGAAGGATAGCCTGTCGGGGTCGCTCCCGGCCGGCAGGAAAGACACACGACAAAGTCTGGCGGTGTGCAACCTTGCCTTTATTTGTCTCCGCGTGGGCCCCGCGAGGCCTCCTCTCTGCCACCAGCCCTTTCTCGCCGGTGGACTCTCTCTATCTCTCTCTGTGCTTCCTCTCTGTGCTTCTCCCTCGTGGCGGGAGAGGCATTTACTTTTATAGGGTAACAGTGGCCAATCAGTTCAAAGCGCGCGATGCGGGCTGATTGGCTAACATCAGTTGTTGCTAGGCAGACTATTCTATTGCGCGGGCTGCTTACGTCGCCAGGGCAATCAGGGGGCAGGAAGCAGGCGCCAACTTGGCTCACTCGATGGGAGGGGCAATCTAGCTCAGGTTCCGCTCCCACCCACAGGCCCTACGTCCGCCAAGTAAGGCGACCGGTGTCGGCCGCGGCTCCCAACAATGGCCCTCTAATGAGGTGGTCTGGAGGGAAGAGCAGTGGCCCTGACCCTGGGGCGAATAACCCTGGGAAAATCTGCTCTTCTCTGGGTCTCTATTTTCACAACTGGAAACTGAGATGCTGGAACGTTGCTATGGGCTGGGTCTGGATGTTCTCCAAGGCCTCATGTGGTCATAGGTAGAGCCTTTTCAGAGGCGGCTGAATCTAGAATGTGTGACACTGAGACTAAGGGTGGGTGATTATTAAATCAGGCCACTGATTTGTTTGGCATCACCCTAATCCCAGTAGCCTGGATACAATATAAGGGACAGAAAGAGGCTTGTCTTCTCCCTTGCTTGCTTGCTTTTGCTGTCTTCTGCTAGCCATGAACTAGTTTCCCTCTGCGATGCCAAGCCACCCTGCCTTGGAGCCAATCAGTTATGGACTGAAACCTCTACAAACTGTGAGCTAAATAAACCTTTTAACTTGTGACCGTTGGATATTTGGAGTCAGCAATGAGAAAAGTAACTAAGACAAATTATATAATCACTGAAGCCCCTCCCTCACTCTTCCTCTGATATTCTGGCCTTATCAAGGACTGTGAAAACAGATGTTTTCACGGGCTGAGGAGCGAGTGGACCAGTTGGGTCTATGGCTAGTTAGAGAAGATGAGCCCCAACTCAAGGAGGAGGTCGATCAATGTCTTGTGAGAGTATGTACCCACATTCTGAGTTTTCAAGGAAAGTGATAAATCCAAACTTTTTATCATCGAATATCCTGATTTGTAATATATCTGATAAACATATTTTAAATTTACAAGCCCTAAGCAGGCCAAATAAAACTCCCCTGTGGACCAGACTCAATCTTAGAGCTACCTGCCAATGTAGAAACAAAGAACCCCACATCAGGGGATCTTGAATAAGAGGTAGAGCTGGGGCTCTAGCCTCTTCCCTGCTACTCAGCCTTCAGGAAGTAGGAAAAGGTTTTCAGCAGAGATAAATGGTGCACACCTCTGTCTGAGGCTACAGCCTCTGTGTCTCCCCTGGACAGATCCTGACCCAGAGACTTTTTATCCCTTTCCTCAGCCCTGCCCCTATCCCCATCACTATTCCTCAGCCTGCTGGCAGCTACAAAAAGACAAGACCAAGAGATATTTCATAAGGAAGAAAACCAGTGGTGAAATCTGGGGGCTCCACTCTTCAAACTGCAGTGTGACAAGGAAGAGAAGGCTGCCTGGAGAGCGGGCACTGCAGGCCACAGAGCCAGGTCCTGTACACCTGATGGCTGGACAGACTAGGTCGGGGAGGAGTAAGACTAGAGCAAATGAGCTCTCAGTCCTGGTCTGGCCAAAAGACACTGGAGGCCCCACCTGGCCCACATCATCCTCCTTAAAAACCATCTCATGTCATGGGATGCAGGTGAGGCTCACCTCAAGAATCAGGGGATTCAGCTGATGTGCTGGCACTGTGCTCCCTGGCTAGGGTGTGGTGGTGGTGAAGATCATGAGTCACAGGCAGCCAGGTCAAGCCTAAAGGATTGAAAATCGAGCACCAGGCCATTCTTTTTCTCAGCCTACACCTGGCCCCCATGCGTTCTCTACTGCTTGTTAATTTCATGCCCCAAAGACAAAACTTCCTAACACTCTGCTTGGAAAATGCTACTTGGGTGCATTTAAAAATCTCTAAGGAGCCAGACCCTGTCACTTGGAGAAGCCCCTCCCAAGCAGGCATTTCCCTGTTGTCCTTGTCCATCTGCACTGTCTCCCAGGGCAGTCCTATTCCTAGTGACACACATTCACAGAGGCCTGCTGCTCAAGAAATAGGCTCATTTCAGCTCTTCAAATGAGGTCAGTGTGCCGCTCAGGAGGCTCCACCCTCCTCTGTGAGGCATGCACCTCTCCCCCAATGCTAACTTCTGAACAGAAATTGGGGAGCAGAAAAGATCCAGTTTCCATCCAGAAACTTCTGTCCCTCTTGCCTGTCCCACCGCCTTTTTCCTCCCTTTCCACCTCTGCGTCTCCCCTCTCTTTCTTTCACTACATCTGTTGCTGGAGCTGAGGACTT